TGCTTAGTCAGGAAATGTGATGTCAGGCGAATATTCAAACTCCGGATCTAACATTGAAGGGAAATTAATGGGTGGGGGTCATTGCAAATTGAAATATGTAGGCTGCTTGAAAAATCTATCATAAAAATCACACCACATTTATCTTCTTTAGTTCTCGTTTCCCGTGCGGCACATAATTTTCGAGACTTCATATATATAACTGGATGTCGATAAAAAATCCTGTCCATGTTGTCGTTAACCGTGTAAAAAGTAACTTTGAAATCATCAGGAAACAAGAAAGGTTTTCCACTAGGAATGAATTTGCTAATATGTTGACGTTCCAAGAGGTGTGTTTGGGTTACTAGTTATGAAGGGAACCGCACGGAAATGCGGGATTTGCCTGTAGAATGAGACGAATGTACATTTATGTGGACAAACAGAAGTGCAAGAACACGGAATATGTCGATCGCTTAACGTAAAATTACTTTTTGATATTTGTTTTACTTACTGCGAAATGATTTTATGTTTTTGTTCCCGGAAGATGAGAGGTGCACAGCATGGTGGTCGAAGAAAAGGGGCCAAGAATAGCCGTTACAAACCATTTACCATGTCACTAAGGCAATAAACTAAAATAAATAATTTCCTCATCACTGAAGCTTATCTTCCCCGGTACTCTTGCTAGTTTGGCAAAAGTCTGCGGGAAAAACGTGAGGTGTGAAGACGATGGCAAAAACTAGCGATGGTCATGGTTTCGTGCAGTAACCACCAATGTGAAATCAGTCACGTATAGAGCTGACGATAAGACACCTTCAATAAATTCCCAAAGGGTGAAATAAGAATTATTTTTCATTTTATTAATTTTCCCTAGGGTTCCTGATGGAACATAGGGCTTCAGTAGCACGCCTCCGGTCAACTCTGTTCTCTGAAATCTTTTGAACCTGGCTCCACGACAGCTACACAAGCTCTCATTGCTTCCTCGCACGATCTCCTCCATGTCACCCTCGGTCGCCCAACTCGTCGCTCCCCATCGGGGTTCCACTCGAGGGCCTGGCCTGATGCGTGATGGCCTTCTCAGTGTATGCGCAATCCACTCTATCTCCACTTCCTTCTCCATATTTGTTGAGCAACAGCTTCCTGGTTGGTTCGTTGCCAGCCGGAGTGAGCTCCTTGTTGCTTATTCTTTCTGGCAATCCATCTGGTTTTCAGTACCAAGCCAGCGCAGGCAGTTGTTGATGAGAGTATGTAGTTTGTGGGAAATCCTTTTCGTAACGTGCCAAGTCTCTGAGCCATACAGAAGCACTGACTTAACGTTGGTGTTGAAAATCCGGACCTTGTTCCACATGCTGAGTGCAGATCTCCACACTGGTTTCGAGCTAATGAGCGCCTATCTTGCTTTTCCAATCCTGACTTCGACGTCCTCGTCTGTGCCGCCATCTGTAGTTGAAACAGTGCTGCCCAGATAAGTGTAGGAGGCTACTTCCTTTAAGTTTCTCCCGTTGATGGTGATTGGAGCTTGTCGTTGTTGGTTGGGCATCTTCATCACCTCTGTCTTCTCTATATTCACTTAAAGTCCCGTCTTCCTTCGCTGCCTCTCCCGCCAGCTTGTCAGTTTTCGTCCGTAGATCTAGATCTTCAAGTTCGTGCGACATCAGACACAAGTCACTGGCGAAATCCAAGTCTTCTTGGTTCTTTTCCGCGGTCCAGCGTATCCCCCTCTCCTCGCTCCTCACTGTTTGTTGCATGATCCAGTTCACTACAATCAGGAATGTCATGGGTGATGGTAGACAGCCTTGTTTCACTTCTATCTTCACTTCAAAAGCAGTTTCCAAATTACTTCTCGGTCGACGCTGTCAAAGGCCTTCTTAAAGTCGACGAAGTTGGGGTAGACATCCAGTTGACTGCCATCCTGTACTCTGTTCTATGATGATGCGAAGCGTTGGAATTTGATCCGCACATGATTTTTACTTCCTGAATCCAACCAGCAGGCCTGTTCTGGTTGTAGTTTTGAATCCAGTGCACCATTTATTCTCTCCAGGATGATGCGGCACAATATTTTGCTTGGGGTGGACAGGAGCATGATTCCCTTCTTTGGGAGTTTGACAAGGTAACCCTTCTTCCAATCAATGGCCAGGTACCTTCTCTCCCTTCCACACCTTCCGCAGTAGTGGTGTGAGCATGTCCGCTGTTATCTTTGCGTCTGTTTCGGTGCTTCTGGCGGGATCCCATCTGGTCCTGCTGCCTTCCCGCATTTCGGTAGCCTTATGGTGTTCAGGACCTCGGCTTTTACCGGAGAGCTTGGGTTCACTTGTAGTTCTGTGGCTGTGCTGCGGGTGGTGGTCGATTCAAGAGCTTTTTGAAGTGGTCAGTCCATTGCTTCCTTTGATTCCCTCCTTTAGTAATTAAATTTCCCCCATCATCTTTCATCGGTCTCACCTGTGTTGATCTCTTCCCGGATGGTAATCTGGTTATTTGATACAATGTTGTCAGGTCTGTATCCCTCCTACCTGCAGTCTGTTCTGCTTCACTTGCCAGTGTGTCGTGGAAGTGTCTTTTGTCTTTGCGCGCACTCTTCTTCACTTTTTTGTCCAGTGTTGTGTTGTACATTGCACTCAGTTCCTCTCCTCATTGTGCATCCTTGCACTGGTTTATCTTCCGCTTCATCATCACCATCTTTCTCTCCCCACTCCATCAGCTTCCATATGTCCATCGAGATCCAATCCTTATCTTCTTTCTTCTTCCTTCCTAATACGGTTATTTGGGTTTCTTTTCATATAGCTTTCAAAGAGTTCCAGTGTTCATCCACACAGGTTTCTTCAGGGATGCTCCTCGATATCTCCCATTTTGTCTTGATGGCTGATTGACGTGAAGTTGTCCTCTGTATTTTCGTCCTTCACTTTCTGTTCTGGGTGTTGAACTTCAACTGTGGTCTATCACCAACTTCCTTGAATTGAAGGCTTTCAACTTGATTTGGAAGGTTCCTTGCACTAGATAGATGGTGGTCCGAGCCCACACCTGTTCCCCTTCGTGATCTGATATTGTGTCCAGTAGACTGCGTCTCCACTTTCTTGAGATTGAGATGAAGTCGATCTGATTTTTAGTGTGTCTGCTGTCTGATGAAATCCATGTCGCTTTGTGGATATCCTTGTGCTTGAACACACTGCCTCCAACCACCAAATCGTCGGATGCACAGAATTCTGCAAACAATTCTCCATCCTCCTTCATTTCACCTAGGGCCTCTCGGCCCATGGTTGGTTCTCTTCCTGTGTTGTCTGCTCCCAGTTTTGCATTCATGTCACCCCACCCATCAGAATTTTGACGTCTCCAACTGAGGTCTTGTCCAGTGTTGATTGCAGTTGTCTGTAGAATTCCTCCTTTTTCTCTAGCTCTGCATTATTTGTAGGTGCGTAGCATTGTATGATTGTGACTTTCCTTCCTTTTGAGTTGAACCTTGCTGTCTTGATCCTGCAGGAGGAGATTGGTTCCCACTGCATGAGAGCCTTCGATGCTGTTGGGGACATCATGATAGCCACTCCAAAACTCAGTGTGCTCGTGGTTGTCGTCTGGGTGACAATATCGGAGTAGATTATTGACTCTCCAGTTAACAGTTTGGAGGGTCCACTCCCATTCCATCTACTTTCACAGATTTCTAGCACTTCGATGCCATACCTTCTCATCTCTTTGGCAACCTGGAGGGCCTTGCCAGCCAGCTTGAAACATTGTTCGGATATTCTATGTCCTCATGTTTACTCTCGCTTTCATCGAGAGAAGACACATCGGCTAATTGGCTTCTCGAATGCTCCCGCCAACAGGTGTCATTTCGCCTCTCCGATTCCAGCGAGGAGTAATTTTGTTTTTATTCTTTATATTTTGTTTGTGCTTTGAAGTTTCTTTAAGGTTGGGTTAGTTCTACGGGGTAAGGTTGCTAGCCCTAAGCGAAACCTTCTCTCTTCACCCGGGCTTAAGACCGGTTGAGTGCTATTGTACTTGTTAGCCTCACGGCTAGCCCGTTCATAAATGAATACTGGCAGTTTCCATGCGCGATCAGATTTCCTTCGTCCTGCGGAATGTGACTTAAAATCAGTGCAACGCTGAAACTCCTGGAACTTGCAGAATTTATCATCGTTTTTGGCTACCCGGCAAATTCTAAAAGCAACATCTTTCGTTAGGAGGTGTTCATCTGGAAACCATGTTCTTGGGTGGGTTAAGAAATAAATGCAGATTATCATATTCACTTGTGTTTTCATGAGTGCGGTTTTCACATGAAAGCATCCTCCGAGATATCTCACCCTTGACCTTTTTGTTTGCAGCCGGTGTTTACCGCAGAATAGCTAGTTGGCATCTAAACTGATTTTGGAGGTATCGGAAGAAGAAGTGGCTGAAAATTTTTGGGAAGGGGGTTTGCACATTTGACAAAACCTTGCTGCAAACAAGTCGGCATGCAACTTCGTAAGTGCCCTCTCATTCTTTCACCCCGTGGGATGACCCGCAAAGCAAGTTTTCTGTTGGAAGTTTCAAACGATTTTTTAGGGTGAAGTGGAGTATGGGCTGCGTGATGTACGATGACCACATCTCCCGTGGTTCCCTAGTATTGTGCCGGTTCCATCTTAAGGGTGACTAAGCGATCCACATAAGCTTCATGCCGTAGCTGAACTACTCTTTTCTGCGCTTTACTCTGAGTCCTTTTTTTGGATTGCTATATCCTTCTTCAGGCATGAAGATACATCTTGCAATTTGTTGTTTGTGAGACACAGGATGCAATGCATTCATAGGTGCAGTAGAAACTATTACATCAATGTTTATCTAAACTCTGAAAATAGCTCCCAAATATTTTATAGCGACGTATTACTGTTCTGCTTTATTTCTTTTAAGAAAGTTAGTGATGAAAACAAAAATTTGAAGCCATATCTTATAAATTAATTTCTAATATCACCGCAAAAAAACAGGTTAGGCAAAACCTAACGATTCGCTATCAGTGACAATTGGATTTCAAAGCGCTGAATTCGGTTGAAAACGCCAAGCACATGAGTTTCAAGGGTTTGGTATGTATAATCTTTTCTTACGGTTTAGAGTTTACCACAATCAGCTTTTGTGATCTCTCCTAACATATATTTATAAATCCATGGCTATGTAACAAAATTTAGGTTTTACGCCTGTCTGTGACTTCAAAACGGGTCCTCGCAATATTCAAAAACCATTAGAAGTGACCTTTTCGAGGCTCTTTTCCCTTGCACGACATCCTTAAATCATGCTCTTTTCCATAGGTGTTCGCTTCTTCTGTATTCCCAGTTCTCTCCGTCTTTTGACGTTAATTGCTCTATGCTCTGAAGGTGTGATTTATTGTCCATATTTATATCAGTTTATCATGAATATGGACAATAGATTGTTTCCGAAACGTAACTTAGTAAACAATACTGTTTCACTGTGTGGTACTTGTAATAAGTCACCAGAAACCGTGATACATTCTGCCATAGCGCTGAATTTATAATCTTATATTAATAACACATTTCTTAAAGAATCCGACTAGTGATTCCGGTTGTCACACTGGCTTTAACCGGGAAGTCTACACTTCCCTTCATTCCTCATCACCAGTTAGACCTCATGAACTAATCTGGCCACTTCTAATTTTTTCCCCGCTTGAACCCACCTCAGATAACATTGAGTGACGGGGCAGACTGATGGCATGCCTACCACATGCCCCAGCAACCTGATTCGATGTGGCTTCACAACCGCATCAACCGAATTTTATCTTCTCCCTAAAACTCAGCACCTGACTTCCATGTTACTGACATGGTGACACCATGTGGCGTCTTCTACGAAGGCAACGATGTTCGGACACCTTAAATCCTCTCATATCCTCTACTGTAACGGCCATGTTTCACATCTGTGCAGTAGAACAGAGCGAGTCGCAGTTCAGTACACTCACCCTTCAATAGGTAACCGAATGTCGTGGGGGCGTCACAGGTGGCCGATCTCACCTGACAACTCACAATAATCTCTGACAAATCCATGGGTGTTTGAGTAAAGGGCCTTCAACAGAATGATGTACTTGCTTGGTACCCCTTTATGTAAGATATACTACCGTACGACCTCGATCGATGGCGTTAAATGTCCCCTTCAGGTTGAGAAGTAGAGCCAGTGCCATGCGTCAGCAAGTGTCCCTCTGCCTCAGCTAATCCATCTGGTTGTCAGGGGAAAAAACCTTGTTGCCGTCGTGCCTTTGTCCTGCTTGTCTTACGAATTCTCCTTCGAACTCCATCATAGCCTAATATATTTCGCCATGTATATGACTTTTTTGTCTGACCGCCATCCTACAGACTTTCCCGGTGTGGTAGTATCTCAATGGAGCAATTGCTCCACCAGCTTAGCTCGTTGGTTCATTGTAATGTCCAAACCCGGAGACCACGCTCAAATAGCAGCTTTCGTTCAAGGTACATAATGATTCATCGAGCTTGTGCATATTCTGTGTTAATTTGATACACCGCTTTGTATTTTTTTGCTTTACATTGATTTTTTCACTTGGCTTAATGTTCCAAAGCTGAACGCTGGCGGCTGTGATAATTTCTTTCATTCCAATGGTAGATGATAATCTTTATACCTTTTAGTTGTTTTATTTATTACTTATCCAAATTCCCATGCGATAAACTATTACACAACCTTAGTCATAACAATAGCTAAATGTAAAGATCACTGTCTATATTCAAGCTCATGTTGCCACTCGATTTGTACTTTAAGTGTGAAATATTACATATAAAGGCAAAGCCCGATAAAACTTCAACGAGAATGTTTTCACTCAAGTTCTCATCTTTTCATTGTTTCCATATGAATATTCCTTATAAAGAATACTATCTAAACAAGTACAAGGTGTTATTGGATCTGTGCTACTACGTGCAGTCCTTAGGTATACATTCTCCGATAATTGATGTCATTTATTTTGTGGACTGTAGTTGAAAAGTTTCTACTTTCATTCACGGTTTAAACAAAACTAGTTACTTACAGTTAGTACCATGCTAATCTGGTCACGTTTAAAAGCGTATTTACACTTATGGATTAAAAACGATTCTTATATCTATACTCACATGTGTAATGTCTTATACCGCTAAATGCACTTTAAGCACTTTGCACCGTGTAACAATTTCTTATGATTTACGCACTTGACGACAATTACACTGTTTAGATCATTATCTGAAGTTAAGAAGCTTTGTTGAAATATTCAGATTGGAAAATTATCAGTAGTCCGAAAACTCAGTTTCTAAATCATTGGCTTTCCATTGAGCAAATTTCTTGCTTAGTATACACAGATTTTAACAGTGAGGCACTGTTGGTCTTATTTTTGTGATAGGATCCTTTAAAGGTTCTTCATTTCTCCAGATGTCCCTGACTTCACCTGTTAATTCAATAATGATTCTACTAGGGTGATATTTTTTGTAATGTATGGACTATATAACCAGAATTATGTACTGTGCATGGTTTACTGCAATAACAGGGATAGATTTTTAATAAGTATGTACTTTTATATTAAGAATAGAGGATCGCGCTGTTCTTTTGCAATCAGACGACAATGCACCCTTCGTTTAAATACTGGATTAGCTCATGACAGTCCCCATATTTTTTAATTTAGAGGCTTTATATGTCTTTCCTATCTAAAACGTCATTGTTAGTGCTTTCTGTAAATGGATTACCGCCACGTATACCATGTCAGAAAACTCCACCGACACTTACATTCGTGTAAGGACTTGTAGAGTCGTCATCTGTGAAAGAACCATCTCCTGGAGGGGTCTACTGTGTCTATATGTATCTAACAGAACCCATAGAATAACAACATACCTCGAAAATCAATGCAGAGAAATGAATATGTCTTTCGCAACCCTGTCGAGCCATCTCTAGGCAACTAAGTTTGTAAAAGAGAGAAAAAATAACACTTTAAGTTACTAAGAATAAATATTTTAAAAAACAGTTGCTTTGACATGCAATACAAGAAGTGTACAAGCAATAAAAAATCTCAAAAGACAGTTGTTTGTACTACTATCAAGTCAATAATGACAATCTTAGCATTGTGTCTTCTGAAAATACTGAATATAATGTACTCTTCTAACTTATTAAATATTAGAACTTCAAAATTAGTCCACTGGTGTTTGTTGTAAGAATGGGCGTAAATACTTCACTTGCGTCAGTTTAAATGTTCTTCAGTATCCAGTGAGGTGTCCAGCCCATTCATTTTGAGTTATCGATCACTCAATTTTCTGTTTGATAAGCGTTTACCACCACTTTAGTAAGCTTAAACAGCTACCGACTACGTTTAAATACCATTTTTTCCTGTTTGTTTATGTTTCCCCCTCACAGCTTCTCACAGTTTTGTTAAAAATTCGTTCGTCTACACGTAAGATGTTATTCATCTTTATGATAATCTGAGTCACTCAAAAACAAGTCTTTACACAGTTAGTTGGAAGGACGCTGTGGAAACACTGGCTTCTGCTAACTTTTAGTTACAGGTTACTGACTGCCTTTACAGATTCATTTTTACTATCATTTTTTATAAACCTACTGCAGTGCATACACACGCATACCCGAACTAAAGCATGATCTGAAACCAGGATAGCCAATATTAGTCTTAGTGCTAACAAAACTCTGCCTTGGTAAGAACTCGATCAGCAATTGTTCCAGTTTAATGCTACTTGATTCGATTATCGTCATGAGCACACTCAACCACTCGTAATATTAGAGATATGTGGATGATACGTTCGTCATATGTGATCAAAATACAGATATTGGGACTATAGTTAAAAAGTCTAATGACTGTCACCCATTGATCAACTTCACATTAGAATTTGAAGAAAACTCAGAATTCCATTATCTTGACGTCTTATTGAAACGGAGACCAGATGGTTCTCTTCAGAGACTAATTTATAGGAAACCTACATGATGTGGACAATACTTGAATTTCTATAGCTGGATGCCTCTTAGCAAAAAAAGAATCTGATCCATTCTTTATCTTCAAGAATCAGAAGAATCTACACTATCGGTGATGAATTAGACTAACTGCGGAAGATTCTTATGCAAAGTGGATACCCACCCAGATTTACCGAGAATTTTGAATTAAAAGAAAATATGGAGCGGGTAGTCAAGTTCTAAGGAGGATCTTGTTTATGAACGTTGGTTTCAAAGGCGATTCGGCAACAGAGATTTTGAAGAATTGGCTGTCCAGATTGCTAAAGAAAACATTCTCTGCGAAGCTACGAATCCGTTTCTGTAGTCCACAATTGGTTCTGGAGTGTATTGTGATGCCCCAGTTTTGTATAAAACACTGTTATTGATCTGAACATTTTAACGTGTCATTCCCACACCATTTTTACGGTATAACTAGTAGTTTATTTTCTGCCCCCATTGCAATGTAAATTGCTAATTGGTTAATCTTTATCTTTACTCTTACTATGTAAACGTCTCAAATTGAGGACAAGGTCATTTTTCATGTGTGTACTTATTAACGTGTTTTGGGATTGATGATCATATTATATTCTCGGAGTAATAGACTCTCCCATCATCCAGCTTCGATCTTGTCTCTATTCGTCCCGGGGTAGCAGTCAGTGGCTCTTGCGTACTAAGTTAGCTGTCAGCTAAGCGTGCGTATTATATTCTTTCGGAATATGTAACTATTGGCGTTCGCAAACATAAGAGTGCATTAAAGGCAAGTTGCCACTTTGGGCCACCTCAATGTGTGTCTACAAATTTACTTCCTCCTGTGGAGAGCTACTTATGTAGGCCGCATAAAGTGCACACTTTCCAGACGTGTCTCTGAGAGCTGTTCTGCATGGTTTTCGAGGGGAGGATGTAAATCAATTAACAGCTCAGTTCTTGAACATTTGGTCAACTCTGAACATATAGCTCAACCAGAGTCCTCCTTCGGTGTCATTCATAGAGTCAAATGTAACAGTTGCCAGTTAAATGTGTGGTTAGTTACTGTAGCCAAAATATTGTTCAAATCCCAAGTAGGTGTAAGAGATCATCTTACACTAATAATTTTAGAGCAGAGAAGATATTGTGGAACTGTGGCTTATCGGTTTAGGCATTCGGCTTCACACCCGTAAGTCATAGGTTCGAACTCCGACCCACCTTCGGAGGTTTGGGCAACCAGTTAGAATCTTTAGCCCTCATACAGAAGGTATGGCTAGCTGCACAAATGGTTGTGTGGTTATTGAGCATATTCTGATTTGAGAGGAGACATTACATATAAAGAAAACGCACAGAAATCTCAAACATTTCAACATCGCAAATTTTAGTATTCGACATAAATCGGCCTCCAAGCAGTTTGCAACTCAGTACACCTTTAATCATTTCATTATTCATCGACAACTCATTCATTTAGTATAAGATTTGAAGTTTTCCATGTACTAGTGAGACCGATGAGCACTAGTTTAGTAAAGATGATGCTTCCCCACCCTTGCAGTCAGTATTACTGTTGTCTCACTAGTCTTGTTTTTTGGTTTCCTTTTCATAAAACTAAGAGTAAAACTTAAGTTTTGTGGTAGAATGTAATTCCGTTTTAATTGATTTATTAGATGTATCACACAGCGAAACAATATTATTTACTGGATACTGTTTCATCGTGATATATCTATTAGATCAACTAAAATGGAATTACTACTTGTTAATATACTTGCAGTTCTCCGTTGTTTCATTGGATCGACTTGCTCGACCTGTTTTGGTATATGGGCTCCTATACGGATGCCTCGATATGGCCTGAATGTCAGTTATGGTAATTTAGTTGTTTATGACTAGCAGGGGAATCCAGGACGCGCGTTCCAGTGGCATAGTGGATAACGCCTTGGCGTTTGAATCGATGCGTACGAAGTTCGAGTCTTGGTAGGAACAACACTCTCTGGGGTGCAGGTATGTCTGGCTGACGACTCCCAAATAGGACGAAGCACGCGTCCTGGATTTCTCTGCTAGCCACAACTAACTAAAATTACCACAAAATGGCATTGTTTCTTTTTCACCCAAAATATTAGCAATTGGTAGTACAAAGATACTGCTTTCTTTCGGACCCTTTAATATCTTACTGCATGATATTTTTCTTATACCTATGTGATTCCCACTTTTTCAACAGTTTCTATTTGTATTGGTTTTCTGTTTTTGTGCTGTTACTAATCTTTTTTACCTTTCTAAATCACCTCATAAATTTACTTTTACTGATAAAATTGTAGATTGACTTTGAGTTCAACAAAGAGAAGTATGATTCCAGCAATCCTCTGGTTTTACCTGGAAAGAATAAATCTCAATCTAAGAAGAAACGCGAACCAGATTCTACTAAAATTATTCAGAATCAGATTTTGTCAAAGAAGCAGAGAAAAGAGCTACAGCGCAAAGTCTCTCAAAAAGAGAAAAAATTATCGGTAATATTGCTACAGTTACACTTAATCTTTAGCGTTCTGAACTGTGGAAAGAATTAGAAGCGTATAAAAAATCTGAAACTGCTCCAACTGTGTCCGTTTTACCTCTGTTCAACAAACTTAAAAAGACAGAAAAGCGAGTCCACAAGTAACTTCACCATTCGGATTCTAAGTTTTTTAGTTCAAACTTCAAAGGAAAATCATGGAAAAGGCAATGCAACGATATGTCAGATGCTTCTAAATCTACTGATGATTATAGCAGCGATGAATCTGTTTCAGAGGAACCAAGTGCGGGTGATATCATGGTTTCAGAACAATGTCCAGTTAAAGATGAAGTTGTCTCACCAATTGAAAGCACTACTGAGAATGGGCCTAAAACTGTAGCCGTTGAGCCAGAAAAAGTTTGTAAACCTGCCAGATTTGTTCTAGTTTCAAGACCAGCAGAAGTGGTAACATCCCGTCTCGCTCTGCCAATATTATCAGATGAGGCAACCATCATGGAAAGCATCAGCGAAAATGATTGTGTCATAATATGTGGAGCTACTGGCTGTGGTAAGACTACACAAGTTCCTCAGTTTCTTTATGAGGCAGGATACGCAACGTAAGTATTTTTGACTAGTTACTCTTGTGAATCATGTAAAGGAACAACATTTATTGACATGATCACTCTCTCTCTCCCTCTCAGCTTTTAAAATGAAATTTAGAGGTAGATTTAATCCTCAACTGGTGTCATTGAAGATTTGAGAACAAATCATTTCATTTTTCGCAGTGTATGAACCTTTGTGACGGTTTGCAGTCCTCTTCCTAGACGTATTTCGGTGAAGCTTTTCCCTTTAACTTACTCCTTCATAGAAGTTATCAGTATGTTTCAGACTTCTGTCGATTCAAATTCACTATTTACTGCTTTTCACCTTCCTTACAGTTAATGAGTTAGTAAAATCTTGTAGACTGTTGGAGAAAAAGTTGGAAAGTTGCCACTTTATCTAAAATGGTCAATTTAAAAGTGGTTTGCAAACTTCATGGTCAGCATTGACACTTCTGATTAGTTTTCCAACTATGGTATCAACAGGATTTCTATTGGAAACTACCCAGCCAAGATTACACGATGTGGTCTCTGACAGAAGAGTGCCATTAACTTGCGTAATGTGCAACTACTAGCCAACTTGAGTGGTTAGAAACCACCCAGACTAGTCTGTAGACGTTATGCGATCTCAACTAACTTGGCTGCACAGGTTGAATTTGTCCGGGTATGCCACTGATGAGCTCGGTCGCAAACGAGCGAAACGGCAGTCTGGTGTTTAGATCACTGTGATCTGGTTGTTGAAATCTGCGGATTAGTTTCTAACTACTCAATTTGTTCAGTAGTAGTATGTTTTTCGTTATCTATTTTTATCAGGGTTTTTTAAAATTTTAGTCGATTTATCTTCACCTACATTTGGTTCTGTCATTGAAACATTCTACTCACTACAGCATGGCCATACTTGGTCCACCTATTACAGTTTAGGGAAATTCTCTATTGTCACTGACCTTCAAATAGTGGGCGAGGTTCATACCCTAGTGCAGGAAACCTAATGTAGTTAGTGTGTTGTATTCTCACAACTAGGATTATAAACTTATGCTTAACAACGTATAATTTTAAAATTGAGTTTCAGCTCTTGTGTAGATGTATCGTGATCAGAAGTAACAAACATTATCGTTTTCGAGTGTTATTTTCATGACGTGATTACTTAAACGGCATTCAGCTATTCATTGTGGTTTAAACTAAGAAGGTAGTACGCATCCCTATCCCTGAGGTCAGTTTTTAAAAACACTTCATCTGTAACATTCACCATCAAGCCGTAGGCTAGCTGAACAATTCAAACGCCAGTTATTGAAGTTAAATTCGACCAGTGGTGAACATATGTGATGATTCCTTACCTTCATTTCTACTAGCATTCAGTTGTTACTGTAAGGCTGGCGGTCTTACGATACATTATAAACGAATTTATTGTAGGCTGCAGTATTGTAATACTGCAGTTGTAAGTGCTGATTGAAATCTGACATTTTAGTAACCATATGCATATTTGTGCACTAGACTTTTAACCTTTTCTGCTATGTGGGTGCTTATGTTAATAACTGATTAACTAAATCTTGTCTAGTGGATTCAAGCTCTTAAAGAAAGAGCTGATTGAAAATCAGGCACTTGCACTGTAGAGCTTTGGCTCCATGAATGGACACATTTCGGCCACTAAGCCGTGACAAAATACTCCAGTGCATTGTATCTGACGTAATCTACCTAGAGTCTAACAAAGTTGAAAATCCTGTCTTCACTCAGATCTATGTACTACCACTGTAGATAAAGGATAGTTACTTCCTTTGAGTTTATATGTAATGCATGCACTACCTGTCTAATGGTATTTCTGTCTATTTTGATAAATGGTGATTATAAAAAAAATGTTTTCATCGCAAATAAACTTTACAAAGTTATGATAATGTTACGCGACATCTTGCTGTAACAATACTCTTATAATTTTGTCAGTTTTAAGTCTCCTTCATGAAGATACGTGTATCATTATGCGCATAGCTTAGAAATTTGACCAGGTTAATTGACTCTTCTATTCAAATTATCCATCAGTTACAAGACCAATTGTTTAAGTACGCTTGAATGTTATTTTCGTTCCTCTCGAAAAATAAGTCTGTCTTTTATTGATCTTGGTGACTAGCAGAGTAATCCAGGATGGGCGTTTCGTTCTACTTGGGACTCGTCAGTTGGATGTCGAGTGATTCAGCCCTGTATAGGAACATAAAATTACAAGTATCATTACAATAAGCTTGTCCTTGTCTTCAGTAGATAGTTGGAAAGTAGTATATTTGAGGTCCTATTGATGATAATGTTTCCTACTTTGTTTTAGAGAAGGGTATATGATTGGAATAACGGAGCCCCGTCGTGTAGCTGCAATATCTATGGCACGACGTGTTGGTGAAGAATTAAATCTAACACCGAGGTATGTTTACCATAGATATCCAAGTCGTAAGAAAGGTAACGGTTATTATGTTGTAATACTTTCAAACTAGACTGTTTGTTTTTGTTGCGATCTAAAACTGAAATATTTGTCTGAAACGTTGCCTTTTGTTAGATTCAAATTATCTGTTGATTTTTCTTGGATAGTAGTAATGTTAATCGTTCAGCAAGAGCGATCCATGTAATCATTTAGGCGTTAGAGTTTCAACTTTTTACTCATTACTTAAAAGGCTGTTGCATCTGTCAAGGTTTAAGATGGCTGGTATTATAAACCGTTACACAAAGTGTTATCGCCTAGTGATGCATAGGCTAGTAGTAGGTTACTTAATTATGTTATGCTCAATTCAAACGGACTCGCAATAATTACGAACTGTTATGTGATGGTAATTCAGTGTTCTCTGAGCTTTGATATTTTACCGTAAATATTTCATCATCTGGCTTGGTGACATCCCCAGCGCTAACTTCTTTAGGAAGCCTGATGACAAAACGTGTACTACATAATATCCACCACTATAATCATCATCCTGAGGTGCAAATCGTCTCCGTCATTTCAAGCAGCACACGTGACTTGGTCATATGAAGCGATGTACGCCTCAGAAAGTAACTCTGAAGCATCTTTAACCACAGTTCTCGTTATTATAAACAGGTGTTTGTTAATAATGAAACAGTATTTAAAGAATGAATATTTTACTTCATCTATCATCAATATAATGATACCGAAATAAACGGAAGGCAACTGAACTGATAAAATTCTATTCCCTACGATACTGGAAATGTATTGATAAGATTTATAATGCGAAATTGTAGACTAAAATATCCATCAGTAAAGGGAACAAAATATAAATTGTCATTACATTACTAATACTAATGATTATGAGGTACAAATATTAAGGCGTTAAAGGAAGTCAGGGAAAGATATTGACCGTCGTAAGATAAAGGATCGAATATACCGGCTTTGTGCATATAGCTGGGCTTTTGTTTATCGGATTACCACTGTCTCTGCCAGACACATTCGTTTTAAACTGTTCAGTTTCCGTTTATATAAAATAGTAAGAAACGAGATAGTTGTGAGTCACCATTGATGTGTAGATTAATGCACCAAGTAATGAGCAATAACTATTGTGTGACATTCAGTGATACTAAGTTGGCTGCTGACACCTAAGTAGACAATTGAGTTAAAGCTGCGCTTCGCTGCATGAAATACCAATGAACTACAGTCCCACCAAATGTAAAATCTCTTAAGGGATTTTTCAAGTTAGTATTCATCATGGACTGACATCATTTGGAGGAACATTGGAAACCTGGAAGCAATGGAAAACTGTTTCGTCCCACTAGTATAGGACTCTTCAGCACTGCGCACCCATGATCCCGCCAGCGATCGAACCCACGACCTCCAGGTCCCGTGGCCAGCACGTTACCATTGAACAAGCCACTGGGTCGGAATTCAATGGTCCATATTTCCAACTTCTGTCAGTTTACTACATAGCACGATCATCACCCAATGTCATCTTTGAGTGTTTGTCCTTACGGACACGGTTTCTCATTGGAACTTCAGGAATCACCTCTCGAAGCTAGTCACCTATGAGGTTTAGTTCGCTTGAATTTGGGGGTTTGTGGGGATTTAGAGATTTTTCAAGTTGGCATTCATCATGAACATCTTAAGGGATAGATGATGCCACTAGGTGGGTGTAGTTAGAATTGATTAAGAGCATGAGGATGAAGCTATTGGCTGGTCTGCATTCTTTGAACAAATAAGCAGGATAGTGTTCAAAGGCACATTAAGAAAAGTGCCTGTATAACCACTTCCAAAGAAGCAGGTGAAGTGATAGACGCATACTTGACTCAATGAAAGGATTTATCTTTTATTTTTCGGAATAAATATAAGTTAAAGGAATTAATCTTAAGCCCAGTGGTGAAGATGTCTTCTTTGATTGCTTTAAACAATCGATTCTTGAGTAACTTGACATTGGTGTTACTTTTGAATTCAATATTCATGAATTGAATCTCTTAAGTAACGATAAGATCTGGTTCTCACATTGCTAATTTATGTTCCTTGTGATTTCCAAGTATCATGTTTGTTTTCTTTCTGCATATTTTATCTAGCCAAGTTTCTTACCACATACGATATGACAAGGAAGTAACCAAAGAAACGTTAGTAAAATTCATGACAGATGGTATCCTTTTACAGGAAATAAAACAGGTAGTTTAATATTCCTTTCAGAATTTATTACTCGACAAAAGAGTGGTATATATAACGTAGTATTTATCTCGGACTGACATCAGTGGGCGGACCGTTAAAGAACTGAGGAGACTGGTCATCTGTTTCATCTTAGTGTTGGACTCCTCAGCAGTACGCATTTACGAGGCAGTTAGGGATTGAACTCAGGACATTTATGAGTCATGGCGAACGCACTGACCATTCAACCAATGAGTTGGACTTCATTAGTCCACAGTTTCCTACTTTTGTCCATTTGCGATATAGCGCAACTATCAAAGGTCTTCAGTTAGCATCGCCTCCCTTCCGACCGGTTGACCCCACAGGTTATGACTTTTCATTAGAATTTCGAGTAGTAGTAGTAAACACCACACAGTGATGTATTTTTGAGGTCTAAAGGAGTTTTATTTTCAAAATAGTATTCATCATGAACTGACGTCAGTTGGTTTTCAATGGATCTTCAACTGAAGAACCATATAAAGATGTGCTTTTTCTTCAATAAGTGACTTATGTATCGATGTAGAAGTATGGGAAAAGTTGAATGTGAAGTGATCCCTAATTTACTGCTTCGTAAGTCATAGATTCTTAGAAAATTCTCATGACGATTTCAACGATAAAAACAAGTGGTTCAGTGAAGAGACTCTTTTTGGCAAAATTTGGGGAATTTTTCGAAAATCATATAGATGGTTGTTTTTCACCCGATTTACTATTGATTCTTATCAGTCACTTGCATTAATTTGTAGTTAGTTTTTAAAAGTAAATACATGTAGCACTCAGTTGTCATACCGTTCATTTGCTAAACACAGAATTATGGTTTCAAGACTTGATCAACCTATTTCTTTGACAACTGGATCATATAATCCATTCATCATTCACATAATGTTTTATTTTCCATCTACCATCCATTAACTACATGTCAGTAAATAATAATCATATTAGTCGCTCTATTCCAAACAACATTTACGATACAGTATGGAATTCTCAACAAATAATATTTCACTAAATATGTTCCCTGTACAATATTTTTAGAAGAAATAATAGTTGTATCTAAATAGTGTTGATAATAATAGTATTAACGGTGTTAATGTGAAACGGGGACCTGTTGTTATATTAGCATCTGGTCTAGATTTGGGGATGAATGCAAAATCGAGTGTAATTGTAATAGTGGCAGTTCAGTCAGCCAGTACAAAACTCTGCAATTCCATATAGTTATTCTACGAATAGTAATCTGCTGTATTTATAAGTCCCACTTTTTCTTTATAAGCGTAACGTTTTTGCTTTATTTTGTTATTAGCTTGAGAAACGACAGTTTGAAAACATTTTAAAAATGTGCGAGAGTACATGATAAGTTTAAAGATTAAAACAAACATAAAGTGAAGAATTTGATGAAGTATATTCAATGGAGAATTTTTTTTTGTAGTTCAAGGTATAAGCAGGCAACCTTAAGTGAAAAAATGGACAAGTTATTATTTCTAATTTTGAACTTGTTAGTTAGAATTTCGCCAATTTTACAGAATCTTAGTTTTCTGTGTTCAGAATATGTACTTATATCACATATTGGCTATATCTTTAAAAGTATTCATTTGAGCATCACTGAAACTTAGATTGCGTTATTAGGTAATCGTTACAGTCTACTAGGGGAAAGTAAAAGATTTTCATCGATTAAAGTGAGATCCTTGTGTTTGTGAGTGATTTTAAAGGCCACTGTAACATCTGATTAGATAACCAATTACGTCTCTTTTTATGAAAAACTAACTCTCCAGCCGAAATACCGAAACCTGATTGGTTGATTTGGTAGTTACTAGCGTCACTAATGATCATATAGTTGTTAAAATGGGGCAAAATCTCTAGTTACTTTAACAGTGAATAATATGCACATAGAACTAACAAAATTCACTAATATAGGAGAAAGATTTTGGAACTGGTAGATTGTAATTCTATTTTAGTCTGCTTATTAGATTTGTTGCATAGTGAGACAGGATTATTTACTGGATATAATTAAAAATGATTAGAGTTGCACACAACCACACAATAGGGTGGGATAGAACGATAATCTTAAGAACTAGCTTAGTTATGCGGAAGGAGGAATTGATAACCGACTCTTTGTTCATCGAATCAACATGAAATACATGCAACAGGAATGATTCTACACCTATCTCAGATATATGGAAAATTCTACTACCCTTCTCATAAACAGGAGGAGAGAATTAGAACCGTATAAACCATGTCTTAAAGTTGCGAAGTTAGTTACCTGATATGAATATGAACAGTAAATTGTGTCCTAAACGTTATCCAGTGAATAATACTGTTTCATTGTGTGATAATTCTACTAAACAAACTAAAATGAAACTGGATCCATTGATTACAAAATATGTATGCATAAAAACCCCTATTAACTTTGTCTTGATTGTAGATGTATGTCTTCTTAAATCCATTGGCTTCCATTTACAAGCTTTCCTCTTGTCTTCTACTGTGTTAATACAATCTTAACTAACGTGCATTTATATTAGTGTAGTACAATCTGACACTACTTTTTGTCAGTAGTGGTTAGTTCGCTTTTTTCCCTAAGTAACTCATCACTTATGTGTTATTCTAAATTTCTAGCTATAAATTACATTTTCATAGAAATACAAGAGATTAACCATGTATTAGAATCGTATACTAAGCTATGAATAACCTACCCTGTCTATACTTAAGTAAGCAGAACACAATTATAACCTTGAGCTCCCTTGAAAAATTTAAACAATGCAAGAACAAAGACATTAACAGAGTAAAATGAGCTCATCTTATTTCATAGCCTTTCATCAGCTGCAAACAGTCTACAATTGAAATGAAGTATTATCAGTAATAATAACATAACATACTTGAAACACGTAGAAATAAATGGAGATTTGAAATCCAGGTAGTGAGTGAGTTAAGGAAACCTGATTAATAATTACAAATCTTAGTCAAAATCAATGGCTATTTATATCCAACGAGACAGAAAATTCTGGAGTTGTAGAGTGGTGAGTGGGGGAGGGGGACAACAAACGAAAATAAGTGTTGAAGAAGTGACAGTCGAAAGTAGACAAATACCCATCTCACGTCACCTCCAACTGCGTATATTAATTCACCTGTACTTGTGGAAGCAAGTGCATAGAACGAACTGAAAGAAGGGCGTCTACTGGATTTTATGAGCATATTCCGAGAAATTCGTGTCTAAATGGTAGAAAGGTCTTTAAAAAGGCAATCACCAGGCCCCTGGTGGGAACAGGAGACCAAATGGATGTTTCTGAATCCTTCAGGATAATCAACAAACAAAGAACACCATGTTTATTACGATTTATGGAAGCTCTCGCTATCAAACATTTTCAACCTGACCTATGTACTCAGAAGCAGATTGTAGTTAACCTTTCTTTGCCTTGGTATGTGTACGTATATAGTCTTCCTTTCTTGGTTGCATCAGCTCTTCATTGATTACTTACTGATTGTGAACCACTTAACGACTTTCCAGTTTCCTCATGTGATTACGTAGCTTGTTAGCTCTTAAACAGTCCCTTCTTTTACATTGAATTTCTTTAGTTGTCCCCCCACTCCATAGCTCCAGAATTTTCTATCTCATTAGATGTAAATAGCCATTGATTTTAATTAAGATTTGTAACTATTAATCCTGTATTTCCTTGACTTACTACCTTATTGTTAATTCTGGATTTCAAATCTCCATTTATTTCTGCGTGTGTCAAGTATGTTATGTTATTATTACTACTAATACTTCATTTTGATTGTAGACTGCTTGCAGCTGATGAAAGGCCATGAAACAAAATGAGCTCATTTTATTCTGTAAATGTCTTTCTTCTTGCATTGTTCAACTATCTCCTATCTACTGGTTGAGACAGGCATAACTGATCTCTTACCACAATATTGGATGATGATTACGCTATGTAGTTTATTAATAGAAATTAGAAAATACAACGATTATAACCTGTGACCATAGAGCTGAAATCAGTCAGTCAGTCATAGCTCCCTCTAGATTAAAATTTCTTTTAAACAAGACGTGCTTCGCATAAATTCCTCTACGCATCTAAGTGCACCTTTATGCAGTGGACAGTGAGTCATACCTATTGTTTGAGGGCTATAGATACTACATGTCTGCCAAGACTTCGATAAGTGGAGCGGTGTTCGAACCTGTGGTATATCTGTTGGAAGTTTAGTCCTTAAACCAGTGCGCCACAACCCCACAATCTTACGAATGAAATTTTGTAAATGATTTGTTAAGTGTGTAATGACTAATTCTTGGTATGAGTTATGTTTAAACTTGATCATAAATTTGGTATCAGAAAACAAAATATCTTTGCCCTAACGAAGGGACTATTTACCTTATCTGAAAAATATGTGACATTATTTTCGAAGATTATTTATTTTACATTTTATTTCTACTACAAACCAAATAAATGGTTAATCAGCATTTTGTCTAAAACTTCTTACGGTTGATACGTGCTTAAAAATCGAATCATACTTTGATGTTGCCGGTAAATAATGGCTAGAAGTGTTCTGTCTTATTTGGAACTTGTGAGGTGCATGTACCTGCCTCCCACTGAGTGAGGCTGTTCCCATTAGGACTCTAACCCTGGACTATGCTATGATATAGAAAGTGAGTCGTATCATACTTTAATTAAAGTATATGTTATTAAGACTGGGTATAGACTAATCAAACTGCTAGTTGAGATCTGTTCGTCAATTAATTTTATCATAGATATTCTTATGGAGATCGCCCTCTCGTCACCTGACTACACAGAAATTGACCTAATCGCGGAAGAATCTTTGTTAGACCTAGAATACGCAGATGACATGACATAGTCTTGTTAGGTGAAGATGCTGACAAGATGCAGAGTCTTCTGGATACTTTGAGTGGCAATTTAAGAATGTTTGGGATACGTTTCTCACCACCCAAATGCAAATTGTTGCTCTAGGATTGGTCTTCAATGGTGCATATGTTAACAATAGAGAGTGTAGTGGTTGAGTATGTTGACTACTTTACTTACTTGGGAAGTAGGATCAGCCCTGATGGCTCAATGGCCGATGAAATCTCTGCACAAATACAAAAGGCTCGGCTGGCTCTCGCCAACTTACGCCACCTGTGGCGCCGCCATGATATCCGATTGTCTATTAAGGGTGACGTATACTGTACAGCAGTCCATTCTGTTCTACTGTATGGCTGTGAAACATGGCCACTGAAGGTGGAAGACATGAGAAGGCTGGCTTCAGGTGTTTGACCACCATCGCATTCGTAGTATAGGACATATTCCGTGGTGTCACCACGTGAGTAACACAGAAGTTAGGTGTAGAGTTTTAGGGAGAAGAGGTAAGTCAGTTAATGAGGTTATGAACCTTCATCAACTGAGATAGTTGGCTGGAACATGTGTTATGTTTGCCTAGTCGCCGATTGCCTCGTCACACAATGTTGGCTGAAGAAGGCTGCAATTGGAAAAAGGTGATGGAGGCGGCCAGACGAAAACATAGTACCAATGTATAAAGTGTTTGACTGTTGGTATGAACCATGTGGGGCGATGCAGACTAGGTGTCTGGGGTCCGCAGGACGAGAGGAACCAGTGGTTGGAGACTGACTCTAGGTGATGACATGGCTGAGAACCGATATCAGTGGGGCAGATATATACACACACAGACATTATCCTCATTTTAATGACGCTATACCGAATCTCACCATTTTCTCATCCTTCCTTTCTCTCTTTTCGTACTTAATATTTCTTTTGACTGAATTTTTTATCCTCATATTGCAATTGACTGCCTTTTTACTTGATATACTGATATGAGCTGTGGGAACTCGGACCGGTACTCAGTAATGCCTGGTCCTATGTTGATTTGGATGGATGGATGTTCGTCAGTTTATTGTTGAAGAGGTTTGTATAGATTCTTCCATCTTATGTTGGATTCTGAATGATTAGCTTATAACAAGTATTCCCTTTTGGCTTTTCTTCTTCTTGAGTTGTGACTCATTGAGTTGGGCAATTGAACTCTTTCAACTGTTGAATTCTTGGTTCAAACAGTAGTTTCAAAAGTCAGGAAGTATCACTAAACTTCACAATGTTTGCTACGTGACCTATTAGACGAAGTTGTACGTGGCGACCAATTATTACTATTACTTATTGTCGTGTGTTCATATATAGTTTGTTAGTCGTACTGTTTTATATTTCACTCTCTTAAAAGGACTTTGAATTATCACGATATTCTGCTGTAATAGTGGATGAGGCGCATGAACGTTCAGTTTACTCGGATGTAATTTTGGGTCTTATATCTATGGTGGTACGTTTACGTCGACGGAGATACACAGAGAATATACCTACAAATGGTAAAGTTTTATTACCACTGAAATTAATTATAATGTCTGCAACTTTGAAGGTGAATGATTTTTCAGAAAATCGTCGTCTGTTTCCAACTTCTCCGCCGCCAGTTATTCATGTTGAATCAAGACAGTATCCTGTGACATGCCATTTTGCTAAGTCAACAAATCCTGATTATTTGAAAGCAGCATTTCGTAAAGTGAGTGACTTCACTCTTTCGTAAGCACATTTCTGACTACTGAATGCATAATAGTTATACTAATTTTCACATCGTACTTGTGTCTGCTGAAAATGAAAAATTCACTGTTGGTTGGTTGCCACTACCAGGTCCCGTTTTGATGTCAATTGACTGACACTCTGTATTGTTCTTTTTCCCTTTAGAAGAAACTTCACATATCATTTGTATATGAACTAAAACACTTTTGCTTTGCCGAACTATCTACTAAGGCAAAAATAGGAACAAATGTGCGCAAAAGACACATCTTTTTGTAAAGCGATCAGTCCCTTAGTCTAAAAGGCTTTTGATATGTGTAGTTACTTAAAAGATCTACCTAGCAAAAACTAAAATATCCGAAGAGACTCCTTATTTTTACGGAAATCGGCTTTTCCAGCCGGAATAAAGAAACCTAATCTGCCATCTCAGTCGTTGCTAGGATAGCTGTTAGAGTCTCTGGGTGTATGACTTTAACTGCTTATCACGTGTTGGAATAGATACCTTATAAGTTTTAAACGAAGAAAGCATACACATCAGAATTTCAATAAGCATTTTAAAACCCTGGTATATGTTCCAAACAATTTTTTCATATTGCTCACATGACTTGACCAATTATAAGTTATATAGGATTTCAAGGTTCCTGATTTCGCCACACAAAAGTCATGTGTCATATGTGTTGGCTTTTCTTAAGTGTAAACATATCCCCTTCATATTCTTGTTCAAACGTTTCTGTTACCCTAATGTTTCACTTTGAGTTAAGTTTCTGGATGTAGCCAGTTTGTGTACACATCCTCATTGCTATACGAGGTTGCATATTGAGCAACATTTATTTAGTCTTATTTTTAACTACTCATAAGTAACTTGTATTCAAATGCATTTTCCCTGTTTCCTTGTGGTTGGTCAACATGAGTTGGCCCGCAGCCATTTTGAAGTTATCATTTTTATCAATTGTTTACCGTAACTTACATGTTGTGATCAGATAAAATTATGCTTTAACTAAAGCTTGTACCACTAACTTTCCTGTATAAAGGCTATTACATGTTTCTTACTCCATATATGTGTATTTTAGACAAAGATTCCTATGTCGTGCTTGATTTCCATTTTAAAGATTACAAGTCAAATATGCACGAAGAATATTCTTTTCAATAACTTCTCATCAGCTTCTTCAGTTATAAAACCAAATTATTTGACATGATAATAGCCAAATTTACGTCGAATACATTTTGGAATGCATATATAATTATAGTTATAATGTTTAAATTTGTAGATTGTAGTGTAACTTACATATGTATGTTAATTGCGGTGATAAGTTGAGTGTAAACCGTAAGTGCTGATTGGTTAGTGATCAGGCGTAGTGAAAATATACTGCATGAGGAAGGGAAATTCATAGTCGAGTTTAAGGTTGCCTACTATCACCGATGATCTTCCTGATTGTGGTCGACTGGATCATGCAACAGACAACTGTGAGAAGCAAGAAAATGGGCATACGCTGCTTGACCAATGAAAATAACGTAAAAGATTTGGATTTCGCCGATGATGATGATGATTTGTCTTATGTCTTGTCGCACAAACTCGGAGATCTACAGGCGAAAACTAATAAGTTTGCAGAAGAGACTAGGTGAGGCAACGAAGGAAGACGGGACTTCCTTCAGATGAACGTGGAGAAGACACAGGTGATGAAGATACCCAACCAACAACAACAACACAAACACCAATCACCATGAACAGGAGAAGTGTGAAAAAAGTTGTGTCATCCACCTAAGTACCCACCTTGGCAGCATCGTTTTAATTACAAGAGGCAGTGATGGCACAGATGAGGATTTGAAAGCCAGGATCGGAAAGGCAGCAAGACAGGCCTTCATTAATCTGAAATAATCAGCGTGGAGATCTACTGCACTCCATTGTACTCCATTGCACTCAGCATAAAGCGTGAACGAGATCCGGATTCTCAACACTACTAATGTCAGTCAAGTGAGTCAGTACTTCTATGTGATGGTTGAGAGACTTGGCGGCGCGTTACAAAAAGCATTTCCAACAACCTACACACACACACATCACATCACATCAACAGTTGCCACCTACGCCCTCTCACTCAATACTGACACTGAAGATCAGATCAGGTGATCAGAATAATAAGAATAAGCAACGAGTAACTCTGGCTGGATGGCTGGTTGGCGACGAAGCAACCAACAACCTATCGCCCAACAAATATGCATGAGAAGAAAGTGGAGATGGATTGGGTTGGGTTGGACTGGGCTGGACATACACTGATAAATAAGACTGTTTGTGGACATCACGCGCCAGGCTTAGCCAGGCCCTTGAGTGGAACCCAAAAGGAAAACGTCGAGTTGGGTGTCCGATGGTGAAATGGCGACGTGCTACTGAAGCGGTATGTCCCACTTGGAACTCAAGGGACAAATAATGAATAATAATAAAGGTTGCATTCTATCGATTGTACAACGTTGTTGTAAAGGCTTTCAACTTGATTTTGAAGGCAGGTTCTTTGCACTAGATAGTCAGTGGCCTGAACCTACATCTGCTTCCCTTCTTTATCTTGTGTCCAGTAGACTGCGTCTCCACTTTGTTGAGATTGAGATGAAGTCGATCTGATTTTTAGTGTATCTATCTGGTGAAATCCATGTCACTGCATTGTGAATATCCTTGTACTCGTACACACTACCTCCAGTCACCAAATCGTTGAGTGCGCAGAAATCTCCAAGCAGTTCTTCATTCTCGTTCATCACCTCACCGAGCTCTTCTCGACCCATGATGAGCTCTTCCAGTGTTGTCCGCTCCCAGTTTTGTATTCATGTCACCCCACCCATTAGAATTTTGATGTCGCCGTTGCCGTCTGGGGTCTTGTCCATTACTGATTGCAGTTGTCTATAGAATTTCTCCTTCTCTTGATCTGCATTAATCATAAGTGCACAGCGTAGCATTGAATGATTGTGACTTTCTTTCCTTTTGAGTTGAACCTTGCTGTCATGATCCTGCAGGAGGAGATTGGTTCCCACTGCATGACAGCCTTCGATACTGTTGGGGACGTCATGATAGCCACTCCAAAACTCAGTGTACTGGTGGTTGTCGTCTGGGTGACAATATCGGAGTAGACTGTTGACTTTCCAGTTGACAGTTTGGAGAGTCCACTCCCATTCCATCTGCTTCCGCAGATTGCTAGCCTAGCACTTCTTTGCCATACCTTTTCATCTCTTTGGCAATCTGGTCAGCCTTGCTAGGTTCAAACATTATTCGGACATTCCATGTCCCCATTCTTATTTTTGTTTTCATCAGAAGGATAGAAGGCACATTGGCCGATTAGCTTCCCGAGTGCTTTTTACCTACTGGTGTCATTTTGTCTCTCCGATTCCAGCGAGGAATAAGTTTACTTTTGCTTTCTATATTTTCTTTGTGCTTTGAAGTTTCTTTAGCGATTGGATTGGTTTTCCGGGGTAGGGTTGGTAGCCCTATGCCCAACGTTCCCTATTTATCCGGGGTTAGGACGGGCTAGTTAACTAGTGAACTAGTTGACCAAGTGAGGTTCTGCCGTATTATGTGTGTATGTATTCCTTTATTCTACAGCAGTATACATAAAAAAATCATGGATGTAGAGTATAAAGCGCTGATGAGTCTTGATGAAATTTATGAATCCCGTAAATCCTGCTATGAATTATGTTTGTTGCTTGCTTTAAATTTGTACCGGGAAACAAATGTTTGTTATTATTATGTTAACGAGTTTGATTTTTATAGCTGTAGAAACTGACCAGAAGTTACTGAAAAAAAAATTTTCTGTTGCTATTTGAGTACTTATAGGTGTTCTTTTTGTCAGCATCGTGGTAATTATATATATATATATATATATATATATATATATATATATATATATATATATATATATATATATATATATATATATATATCATTAACTATTACATTATTATTATATCACTACTTGTATATATGTTATGAAATATTTCTTCCAATGACTTTATCCCATGCATCTTTATCTCATCAGGTAGTATCAATTCACAAGACTTCACCTCCTGGTGGAGTACTGGTGTTTGTCACTGGTCAACAGGAAGCAAATACACTTTGTAGTTGGCTTACAAGAGCATTTCCAAAAATTGATGATGAAAAAATGAACACAGTAACTGAAAAGCCTGTTAAAGAACACGTCAAAAAACTGAAAAAGTTATCCAAGGAAACCCTGAAATCTCCTATTTGTACAAATGCTTCAGAAGTCTGTGATGATCCAGATTCAATAGAAAAGAATAACGCTAGCTCTTTTATTGATTTAAACAAGTAAGTGCTCATGTGAAAAATCGTTACACGGTTTCCGCTCATGCAGTCTGTCTGATTATGTAATTCATATTGTTTTCCATGTTCAGATATGTAGTAAAATCTGCTTTATCATATCTTACGTAGCCTATATATATATATATATATATATATATATATATATAGGATTTCATTGAAAACCACTGATTGGTCTAAATGCCGCTTTGTACTTATCATTGTAAACAATTATAAATGTCGACTATTTTGTGTTGATTCTTCATCTACTCCAATTATATGTGACAGGCATTGGCTGCCGCCACATTTATTATAAACAATTTTCGAAAGTTTTTCAAGTTGATATTCATCATATACTGACATCAGTTAGAGGGAACATTGGAAACCTGGGAGCACTGGACAGCTGTTTCGTCCTAGTATGAGTCTCTTCAGCAGTGCGCACCTAGTCCATGATGAATACCAAAGTGGAAAAGCTTTAAATCCCCACAAACCCCCAAATTCAAGCGAACTAAACCTCATAGGTGACTAGCTTCGAAAGATAATTCTTGAATTTTCAATGAGAAATCGTGTCCGTAAGGACAAATACTCAAAGATGACATTGGGTGATGGTCGTGCTATGTAGTAAACTGACAGAAGTTGGAAATATGGACCATTGGATTCCGACCCAGTGGCTTGTTCAATGGTAACGTGCTGGCCACGGGACCTGGAGGTCGTGGGTTCGGTCGCTGGCGGGATCATGGGTGCGCAGTGCTGAAGAGTCCCATACTAGTGGGACGAAACAGTTTTCCATTGCTTCCAGGTTTCCAATGTTCCTCCAAATGATGTCAGTCCATGATGAATACCAACTTGAAAATTTGTACAAACCCTCAAATTCAATTTTTGACCTGTCTTACATTTCTTCATAGTCTTAATTTCGTAGTGTTTGGTAAGATGTCTAGTTTCGCAGGTGATGTAAGCAGGGAAAGTTTCTCTTCCTCAGCATATTCACAGTCATCGTCAGCATTGCTCGCTTTGCGAAACCAAGGAGAATAAGCTGTTCTCTAACAATAAACCAAAACCTCGAGTTACGCATAAAATCCAAAACAGGATTTTTCTGAAATATGGTTCTATATTAATAATGTCGACTCATAGATTACGAAGCTCAAATCGTCAAGGATATCTCTGACTGTTGGTGGGTAGGTAGGTAGATGTAGACTATCTAGTTAAGGTCTCCAAGACGATAAGAATCAGAGGTTGACATGACTGAAAATCGGTCACGATGGCGCAAATGTATTCACCCTTTGATGTTTTCTACAGCTGGAATATTTTCACTAATCTTCATTTTTAAATTCCCCTCTCCACCCATATATCTTCAACTACTTTGATAGCACACTTATTCTGTCCACCTATTCTTTGCATGCTCATGTATTGTGTGTCAACTTTAACCTATATACTTGTGTGAGAGGTTCTGCATTAATTTTCAATGCCTGTCTGTATAGTTTATGCATGATCGATGTTTTATCATCTTTTTCAGTTTTATTTCTTATTTTTTCGTCTTGTCAGCTTTGATATCATTCCTGCTGACGAAGAAACAGAAATTGGTCATACTCGTGTTCACCGGAAAAATTTAGTGAAAGTGGAAAAGAAATCCGATCAAAGTATTAATGAAGTAGCAGATGATACCGATGTTGAAGAGATTGACGATGATGACGAAATCCTTGAACAAATCAACCAAGCTCGTAATGAATCTTATCCTGTAAGTTATTATTCTTAAAAGTATAAAGTGCAAATTGATTGTATAACAAAAATATTTCATTAACGATATATAGATTTATATACTAGACTGCATGAGATTTACCGATACTTTTTTGCTCTTTTCGCTATCTTCCATTAAATAGTAGTTGTCATTGAAATGAGTAAATTTCTGAAAAATAGTCTCACTAACATTTTTTTGCTTTGAATACAGAGAATTTTTATGATCTCTGTCGTTATTTGAACAAATCAAGAAGACAAGGCTTTTAATAGTCAAATGATCTCATTTTATTTCATGGATACTCCTCAACCGCATATCGTCCAAAAGTACAATGGTTATTAACAAATAAGTTGTCTCAAGATTAGGAAATCAATAATCTCACATTGTATAGAGACAAAAAATATAAGAAAGGAAAACTCTGATATTAGATAATAACAACTGGTGAGTGAAATACACCTATGTTATCAAAATGAAACAGGATCATATTATAGTCATCAAGGGAGTGAGAAATTAACCACACTCTCCTTCTATATACAGAGGTCAGGTTGAAATCGCTTCATAGCAACTGCTTCCGCAAAGCCTAGTAAACCAGCCTTTTTTTTACCATACGTTTATTATTTTAAAAAAGCTCGAAGTTTCAATCTAATGTCTTATAGTTATGAGGTGTCTGGAAATTGCACTGGTTAGGATTTTACTTCTTTTCAGGTACAAGTTCATGGGGTATATGCTCAGAGAACCGAATGAGTGCCTTCCATTCGGTCCTTTCAGTGGACTTGCTACCGCAAGTGTATTTAAATTCATAAATGCAGTTAAAGGTGTCATGAACAGGGTATTTATCCAATTTGTACTGGTTCAGTTAGTTGCAACATGATAGAGTGATACAATTTTAGCTTCTGGAAAACTTCTTCTTAGTGTTCCGTTGATTTTTGTGTCTATTCCCTTGGATATTGCATCTCATGTGAATATGAGGTGCATTAGGCAACAAGCCACATCTGTTGTGTGATGGCTGACCAAACCTCGGTAGGTGAAGCGATGTTCGGACCAGCTACATGAAGTTGTTCCAATCTACCCAACGAATTGAATGCACATCTTCAGATCTTTGCATTTATGTTATATTGCCGGTTTGATAATTTTATATGCATAAGTGAATTATTCCCCTACTCTCTAGCATCCAAGAATCAAAAATGCGCATACTTGGCGGACCGACTTGTACCAGAGATAGATATTTGATATTTTTAAGGTAACATTCATCACGGACTGAGATCAGTTGGGGAACCTTTAAAAAACCTTTAGAAATAGAATTAAATTTCAACGTTTCACTTCCTAGATGTAGTGTTAAAGAGAAGCGACGAATACTCGATCTAAAGCTCAGTCTATCACAAACCAACGTGAACTGGTCATTTCACTAACTTTAATAGTTGGGTACCTCTTAGATGTATTCGAAATCTCACTCACTCACTGTGTTCTGGAATCCACAACATCTGCTCGGAAGATATGGTGGATGTTGAAATTAAAACCCTTAGAACAACCCTATCGAATAACGGATACCCTAAAGATTTATTGATAAAACCTGAAGAAACGAATCACCACTCACCTTATTACAGTTACTAAAAAAATTCTAATCATGAATCTGGAATTCAAAGTGGATACTACAGCCAAAGTGCTGAAAAACCGTCAATCAAAGTGTATCAGCAGTACCTTTTATACTGCCAGATTGATACCGATCCTCAAAATATCACAATTATTCTAAAAGGTTTTCCGAAATACAACAAACAGATAGCTGAACCATTTCATATTATTCCCAATCCTAATGTACTCAACGGAAAGGTAGGCTCAACTAACTATCCAACCAACAAACTTGCACAGTATTTCCAAAATTACACCTTACACTAGTCATAACATAAAAGTATACACATAAGCAAACTGACTTTCTCACTCACATCTTCATACGCATTCACATGTGCATCACACACACACACACATCTTCACCTTGAACTCACGAACCAATAACTGGTGACGATGATATTTATCATAATGCATGAATGATATGATCCGATTTGTTTTCATTTACTCATTAAACGTGGGATAACTTGTGCAGGTTATATTGTCTGAAGAAGTGACTTTCAAGAGGTTGTGAAACTTCAGAAATGTATTATTTCTATCTCATTAGGATTTTAGAAGTACATTTCCTTCGTAATCCATTCATCATTCAATGCTTAACTTAATTAACTCTATGAAGTCAAATTTAAATCCTGAAGTGCATAAAAGCAATCACATGATTTCATGGCTTATGATACTACCCCGGTTATCCAGCTGTAGACATCTTTTATCATATTGATTACAATCTGGTGAACAGTTGATCGATGTATTTGGGTAATTAGGGGAACCAGAATGAAATAACTGAACTTCAGTGGTGACCGCAAACTCCGTTTCAACCTCTATCATCATTATTTACAATATTCAGATTATAACTAATATTTCTCCATCCATTACAGTCGGTCAATTACTACTACCAACAGTTACCTGAAATTACTTTACACAGGTTAGATGAATGTTTGCACCTTAACGATAATAGTGAATATTACGAGTATACCGTAAAAAAAAAACAAGAAAGCATCGCCTTTCAAATATTTACACATCAGTTCACACGTGAAGGGTATGAAAGACAGACATGATCAACACAGGACCGGTCATTACGACGCGATGGTTTTATTATACATCCACATATCAAGGTAACAAGAGGGAAAGTGAAGAAATGAAAACAGTATGATTAAAATTTGTGAAATATTGTGCAACACGTAGGAAAATATTTGTCGCTTTCATGAATTTGTAAGATGTAATAAGAAGATGGAGGTTATCTGAGAAATGTGATTTATTTGCACAATATATTTCAAACAATCTGGTCACCCACTTACTTGCCAAGGGGTTTTTAAATGAAGGATGAAAATAGATTTGAGTAAAATAAATAAATAAACATAAAATAAGATTTCGAAAATATAGGGAAAATAAGGAAGAATAATATATTTCTACACCTTCCTTGGCATTAAAATGAAATAAAATTTTCCAAGAAAGGTTTAAGATAAGGACCGATTGGTGAAGTACAGGTGAAATCCTTTCAATGGAGTGTAAATTAATAATAACGATCATGTAAAAGAAGCAACGATTATGGTAACAGCAGAATTTAATGAATTCATAAATTTCAGTAATACTCGTCAGTTGGATACTCTACATACTTGGTGATATATACCGTTAAAAAAAATGAAAAATAATATATATACATATACAACGTGGGCGGAGACAGATTTGGGTGTAACAACATAGAAATGAACAGTTTTTTACAGGTGAAACGACAAAACAAAGGGTGGAAATGGATGTTTAAAAGTGAATGAATTGGGAATAGGTTACATGATTAACTATGAGATTGGATAATCATCATCATTATCAACGTAGGACCAGGCATTACTGCGTAACGGTCACCTCATATCAGCACATCAAGTAAAAAGGTAGTGAGGCGAAGGATGAAGATAAGTGAATGCAGTCAAAAGAAATATAAAGTACGAGAAGAAAGGAAAGAGGAGTGACAAAATGGTGATTCGGTATAGCGTTGTTAAGATGACGATAATGTGTGTATACATCTGCGCCACTGACTTCGGTTCTGAGCCATATCACCTAGGGTCTCCAACCACTGGTTCCTCTTGTCCCGCGGACCCCAACCACCTAGTCTGCATCGTCCTACATGGCTTAAACCAACAGTCAGAGACTTCATAGATTGGATAATAGCTACGATGATACTTATTATAATGCATGAATGATATGATCTGATTTGTTTTCCTTTACTCATAAACGTGGGATAACTTGTGCAGGTTATATTGTCTGAAGAAGTGACTTTCAAGAGGTTATGAAACTTTAGAAATGTATTGTTTCTACCTCAGGATTTTACTAGTCTATTCCTCATGAATTGCTATAGTTTACTTGATGGCGACTAGTATAGGCCACCTCTTGTGCAGCGGGTATTGGTTATTACTATATGTTAATATACTTGTAATTCTTAGTTGTTATTCTGGATCGGATTGTTCGACTTCTGCTGTAAACTGGCTCCTATATTGATGCCTGGATGTATATATTGTTATAATTCACTTGGTTGCGACTAGCAGTGAAATCCAGAACGCGCGTTTTGTCATGCATCAGTGTCCTAGTGGATAACGTTTTGTCTTTTGAAGCACTTGGTAGGAGGTTGGGGTTTCGATGAGAATAATATCACTCACTGTGATGCAGAGTACATCCAATTGACGAGTTCCAAATGGGAGGAAACGCTCATTCTGGTTTCCATTGCTAGGCACAATCAAGTAAGTTGTCATATTGGATCTAGTTGTTACTTTTGTCTCGCTGCAATTATGAATTCTGCCAGTAATATTATTCGATTGTATTTAGTTTATACTGACAAGCAAATTGCATTCCATATTTGTTGTATGAAGTTTTCTTCATTGTATGCGTATGAGAGATATCATGCTATCTAATTGATATGATTGAATGCCTTTTCTTTGTCTTCATTAATTCATTCAAGGGACCAGTTCACGCCTTACCATTCTATTCATTGTTACCACCTGAGCGTCAACAGAATATCTTTCAACCACCGCCTGAAAATCATCGTCTAGTTGTTGTTGCCACTAATGTTGCCGAAACTTCACTTACAATCCCAAATATTCGATTTGTTGTAGATACAGGCAAAGTAAGTTGGTTAAGATATTTTCTATTTGTAGCCGTTGATTCTAATTTCTACTAATGGGATTTGAATCAACTACTAGACCTACCGGGCGTTTGAGCAGGCAGGCAGTTAGTATCGTTAGCACTTACATAATCAATAAGTGTAGCTCATTGCCTACTTCACAAATATCCACAAGGTTGCTGAATGGATCTCGATTTGATACTGATTTGATAAGACACCTGAGGTGGATACAGTTATCTTCTGTTTTCTCTCAGTACCTTATACTTTACTGAGCCATAAAAATATATGCAGACAAAGACTGGCTTGTGACGAAGTCACTTTATCCAGGAAAAATACATAATTTATATGCAGTTTTCATGAACATACTAGGCTACAAGATCAAAAGTTAATTAGCTTATTCTGATTGGTCGATTGTAGGATAAATTATCCAATAAGGTTTTTCCTGAACTGAAATATATGAAGTAAAAATTGAAACAGATACTTCTACCTTAGTGGTTGATGACTTAAAATGTTGATTTCCACCTGAGTTGCTTCCTATCATATGAAAAACACTGTTGCGTTGTCAAATATGTTTGTCTAGCAGACTGATTGTATACAAATGGAAGTCAGGTTTTTTCACCTTCTACGTAAACAGTGGAATGAATTTCATGAAAAACACCAGTAGAAGTTAGCATCCCACCATTTTATCTTCATATAAGTAGGTAATAATAATAATGCTTATCATTATTAAAGTTTGACTATATACTGTAATTTTTTCATATATACAGGTGAAGACTAAAGTGTATGAACCGACAACAGGAACTTCAAGTTTTGAAATTGTATGGATCAGTCAGGCATCTGCTGAACAACGAGCTGGGAGGGCTGGTCGTATTGGTCCAGGTCACTGTTATCGTCTTTATAGCTCACAAATATTCTCCAGCATGAAACAGTTTTCTATTCCCGATATACTATTACGTCCAATCGATGAAGTTGTTTTGATGTTGAAGGTAATTTTGTGGCAATCGGTATTCCGGAAATTCTCAGAATTGCAATATTCACTTGGATCTCGTTTCGAACCTACTAAACTTTAAAATTTTGAATACTAATCTTAATTTTCATGTATGAAACTTCAGTATCTTTGGGTAGATGCTTTTTTATAGGCAATTATGATTTGGCTAGTCAGTAAAATCTCAAGACTGCACCGATTTTTAAAAAAGAAGTGATGGATCATTGTATGAGTTGCAATAAAAACTCAACCCGGTAGTATGCTTCTTGAATATTAGTTTAATGCTTACTGTAAAGATTCAACGTTTTCTATTTGAATAATTTCTAACCTAGATCTACTGATATGAGAAGCCATATCCAATTATTCTAGGCCTTATGTCACTGATATATACATATCTGTTTCAGGAGAGCTGTGACTGAGTCACCTAGGGACTTGCAGATTCGAACCTTGCCCAACCTACTAAGGTTTGACCAGCCAGATAGTTTCATTAGCCATTACATAATAGACCTGGTTTATTATCTACTCCATGAACGTGCACGTGTTTGCTGAGTGCATTCTGGGTTTTTTATGGATCCGTCTTTGTACACCTATGACTAATTTGATATCAAAAATTGATTTATAAACACCGATACTTGTTGCAGCAAATTATTATTATTATTTGTCCCTCGGGTTTCTTATGGAACATAGGGCTTCAGTAGTACGTCTCCAATGCGCTCTGTTCTCTGAAATCTTTTGAACCTGGCTCCACGACAGCCCACAAGCTCTCATTTCCTCCTCGCACGATCTCCTCCATGTCACCCTCACCTCGGATGCCCAACTCGTCGCTTCCCATCGGCGTTCCACTCGAGGACCTGACGCGTGATGTACCCAGTCGGCCTCCTCAGTGTATGCCCAATCCATCTCCACTTCCTTCTGCATATTTGTTGGGTGATAGGTTCTTGGTTGGTTCGTTCTCCGAGTTTCTTGTTGCTTATTCTTTCTGGCAATCCATCTGATCTTCAGTAGCGAGCGTAGGCAGTTGTTGATGAAAGTATGTAGTTTGTTGGAAATGCCTTTCGTAACGCGCCAAGCCTCTGAACCATACAGAAGCACTGATTTGACGTTGGTGTTGAAAATCCGGATCTTGTTCGTTGTGCTGATTGCAGAAGATCTCCACACTGGTTTCAGGCTAATGAACGCCTGTCTTGTAGCAGCAAATAGAATGCCTAATGTCGTGTATGCACCTGGCTCATGTTTTGCCAAACAAGCAAATCATTCTTTCAGATATGATTCCCATCGGCTGCATTATTCGGCTGTCTTCCGTCAAGAGGAATTTACACTTTCGTTAGGTTTATTTTCGGAACTTATTAACAGCTGTAATTCGACCCAATCGATTGTGTCGCCTGTCATGTATTTTTGATTTTTATGCACTGCTAACATAAACGACAATTTATTTCGTCTATAGAAAAAACGAAGAAGCAATATAATTTAATTAAATCGTTTTATATGATGTAAAGTATCGTAGAATGTGACGATTCCTCAGTATAGCATTTGGGTTATTATTTTTTCATAACGTTACACCATGTAACAATTAACTTCAATACTTTTACGCAAATTTCATTTTGCTTCTTTGTGTATGGTTGTAAAAACGTCCACTTTTTGTTTTCGTCGATTAGTTGTACCTGGGTAGCACGAAACTTTCACTTTTCCCACTCCCGACTCCACCGTCTACTCAGGCTATTGAAGCTGCTGAACGACGTCTACTTGCTCTTGGTGCTCTTAAGGAGGTTTCTAATGCTTCTGGAGGTGAGTTTAGTGTAAAACAACATTTTTATTCCTAATTCTTGAGGCATAATGTATTTGTTTTCCCATATACTTATCATTCTACTTTAATGTTAAAGGTCATTCTCGGACAATTTCGGATGCTGGAAAATGGATGACTAGAGTCCCTGTACCTGCACGTTTTGCACGAATGTTACTATTCGCAAACCAATGTCATTTGATGCCATATGCTGTGATACTCGTGGCTGCTTTATCTGTACCGAATTTATTCATATCTCAAGCATCAGACACATCATCTGTCTCAGAACAGGAAAAGACGTTTCAATCTAATTTTATCCAGCAGTTTGTTCGCAATGTAAGTACTTATACTTCAATAATATATTCTTGGTATTTTTCTCAAGATTTCTTTCTTTCCATACGGATGTATTTGTTTCGATAAGATGCCAAGTGAATCGAATTATTCTTTGAAATCAGTGGAAAGGATTTCGAAAAGTATTCTATTTTTCAGAATAACATTCATGAAATCATTGACCATTCTTGAAGATATATGCCGCCACTGGAAAGAAAAATCAGTTTTTATGTACAAATACATAAATTTGAATTTTCCGCGATAATTCTTCATAAAATTGTATTTATTGAAGTTCTTAGTATCGCTCCAAAAACTGCTATTGCGAACCAAGTGTATAGTACAAGATCCTGTGAGATGTGGCTCACTGGTTTGTGTGGATAACTTTCAACCAATGGTTCTCGAGTTCGAACACTACCCCACTTGCCAAGGTTTGGACACCCAGGTAGTATTATCAATCCTCATACAGTTGGTGTGGCTCATTACCTACATTACCTACTCCATGAATGTGTATAAGATTGTTGAGTGCACTTCGATTCGTAGGTTTGGTAACCCTTCAGCAATTTGACCATTTCTCTTAGGGTATAAATGACATGTATTTTGTAAAATCCCAATGAAGTAGAAAAATAAATTTCTGACGTTTCGCGACTTCATGGAAATCGCTTCTTCAAAGAATAAAACCTGTACAAGTTATCGAATAGTTTAAATAGTAAAAGGTGACGAATCAGATCACTTTGTCTATAGATGATGATATGAAAGTGAATGCCATCGTCATGCTGGTCAGGAAGCGTTCACAATTTGTTCTTGTTTATGAGTTAATTAGTCTGGAGATCAATGAGTGTGATGTGTTGTTTTTGTTTTTGGGAATACTGTCCATGTTGATTGGTTAGTTAGGCCTTCTTTTCTGTTGAGTGCATTAGGATTCAGCATAATGTGAAATAGTTTGAAAATCCTTTTTGAATAATTTTAATGTTTTCAATATCGATTTTGTGACTGTGATATATGGCGTGGACAGCAATCACTGACTTGATTTGTAGGTTCTCTGGTTCTACAGGATTATTTGGCGGTCGTTTTGTGTAGCTTGCATGTTCTTTAACCCTAATGATGATCTCACGAAATGATTCTCCAATATAATAAGCATCATAGTCGACACAGCCTAATTTGTAGACACAATTTTGTGTGGAGGCAAAAGGGACTTCATCTTTTATGTGGACTAGAGCATTCCTCAGAGTGTTGGTTGTCTTGTAGAAGGTCCTGATTCGGTGCTTTCTTAAGATTCTTTGTAACTCTTCGGTTGTACCTTGGCGGAATGGTAGAACTATTGTACCAATCCAAGAATCATCATTTGAATTTACTCTTGGATCCCACTGTTCATGTTTTGGGTCTTTTAAATGACTTTTCTAGGGTAATTGTTGGAATATAATATATCTGGTATATTACTTACTTCCGTCTGCCTGTCATCTTCATTCGTGATGAGCTTTGTGGCTCTCCTGAATAAGTTCTGAGCAAGTGAAAGTTTAGCACCGAGTGGATGTGCTGAGTTGAAATCAAGATATCGATTTGAATGTGTTGGTTTACGATAAATCGATAAATTTAGACTTCCATTTACATTCCTTTTGACTAAACAGTCTAGAAATGGTAGTTCCCTGCCTGCATTTTCATGTTCATATGTGAAGTTGATATGTGGAGAATAAATGCTAATTAACTTCGAAAAGGTTTTGAGGCCAGATCTTTTTAAAATTACGAAAGTATCATCTACGTATCTGAGCCAAATACGCGGTTTGATGCTGTTCGAAATGATTGACTCAATGTGGGACATGGAAAGGTCTACAACGATAAGGGACACCGGAGAACCCATAGCTACTCCATTAGTTTACTTGTATAATTTTCTTTTAAACGTGAAGAGTGTCGACTTTAAACAAAACTTGAATGCTTTCATGATGAGGCTGGGGTTCAACAGAGATCTGTCTGCCATCGTGTGATCACATTCTAGTAATTCATTTATGAAATCTAAACATTTTTCAATGGGAATACTACCATACAGGGAAACAACATAACTTACCATTGTTTCATTCTCTGAAATAGATAATTCCGATATTCTTCAATTGAATTCATAAGAGTCTTTAATTGAGCCGATAATAGAGCGTTGAAGAGGCTTTAATAATGATGCTAGATATTTAGATAAAGCATATATTGGAGAGTTTGTAAAATATACTATTGGTTTCAGAGGGGCATCGGGTTTATAAATTTTCGGTAATCCATAGAAGCGTGATGAAGTGCATGATTTTGGATAAAGGGAGAACCATGATGAGTCTCTGATAAAGGGTTTCAGTTCGTTTAATAGTTGACCTGTTTCTGTTTTCATCTTGTTTTTCGTTGCTTGGCAGTTTTTTGATCCAATTTCTTTATAGGGACCAGTTGAAAGATGCTCATATGCCTTACGGTCGTAGTCGGTTTTGTTCATAATCACCGTTACATTTCCTTTATCTGCCTTGGTGATTACGATTGTTTTATCTATTCGTAGGTTGCGGAGGGCTGATCGTTCTTCTTTTGAAATGTTTGGCGGCATATATATATATATATATATATATATATATATATATATATATATATCATTTATAATCCAGTTATCCAATGTTCAACTTATTCAACTCTACCAGGTCAAATTTTGATCCTGAAGTTTACAAAATTTTTCTTAGGGTTCCAAAACCGTGAAGTCCGACGTACAGATCTCTTATCCACAAATTGCACTTAATAAACGTTCTGTATGATATATTAAGTTATTTTCTCGGTAGTGGGTTAATTATTGCCCTTGTTTGTTGTACTTCATCATTTATTTCGCTTAGAAAGAAGATCTGTATCTCGGAGATCTCGCAGTCCTCTTGGGGACTATATGTTGCCTGGAACGTTATGCAGCACAACTCAGTGGATTAGTTCCTGCTGAACCTGGCATAATAGAATCTGTTGGTGGAAAGACTTATGTATCACGTGATCCTGAAGGTGCATTAAGACAACTAGCCCAACGTTGCGGTGTTCGATGGAATGCATATAAAGAAGTTCGGCAACTTCGTAAACAACTAACTGACATATGTGAGTTTTATTGTTTTGTAACCATTCTTTGTGTATTTTTTAGCGTGAGTAAAAAAGTGAAATAGAAGTGAATTGATTCATCATATGCGTGTTTCTATTCTGTAACGGTACATAACACCAATAATCTCTCTAATAATTCTTTTCTTTCAATTTCTTTTACTCACTTAACCATATCTTTTGGACGTATCATATACTCTGGCACATTTTTAAACTGTTTCTAACTCTCCGTTTCTCGAGTCAGTAACACAACACAGAAAAAATGTTAAGTTATATGGAAGTGGAGTTTTCAGTGTACACCATATTTCTATCCATCAGATGCTTAGCTTAAGTTGCAGATTATGGTACCGGCTGAATAAACCGCCACCACCAAAATTACGCTGGCATTTTTGTTGATTTTTCAGTATGGACCGGACGCCCATCCAAAACCAGCTGGCTATTTCACATTATTACCTTGAATACTGTTGTCATTAATATCATTCAGATGCAATAACCATTTCGTCTGAAAGTATTACTCTGGGAGTGAATTTGTTGAAAAATTACGTGCTGAGAATTCCACACTGTATCATACATGTTGTTTCGCATAAAGTGATTATTATTATTATTATTATTATTATTATTATTATCATTATTATTATTATTATTATTATTATTATTATTATTATTATTATTATTATTTCAGCAAAGGAAACTGAGTTTTTTAGAACTTGCAACATGGAGATAAATTGATTTCGTAAACCCCTTTAAGTAAATAAAACATTGACTTATAATTATGAATTGCGGTTTAAAAGCCCCCATTAAATCGTGAAACAGAACTCTTCACTGAACATCATTTTTTAGTTTATAAACTGCCCTGAATACTAATCAGTGGTTAGTTCATTTCAATTTTTTATCTACCCCTTCCTTCTTCCTTGAATTTTTTTCCCTACAGTAAATGTGATCATTCCAGACCTTGGGCTTACTATTGATCTCTGCTTACCCCGACCCAGTGACTCTCAAATAATTCAATTAAGACAGTTGTTTCTTGTTGGTTCACCGTGCCATATTGCTAAGAAACTTAATGTTTCTGTCAGTGGTCTACCTGGTAATGAACGTCGTCGACTTCGTTATGCCTATGAGGTGAGTGAATTTCAATGTATCATCATCATCAACATAGGACCAGGTATTACTGCGTACCGGTCCGAGTTCCCACAGCTCATATCAGTACATCAAGTAAAAAGGCAGTCAATTGCAATATGAGGATAAAAAATTCAGTCAAAAGAAATATTAAGTACGAAAAGAGAGAAAGGAAGGATGAGAAAATGGTGAGATTCGGTATAGCGTCATTAAAATGAGGATAATGTCTGTGTGTGTATATATCTGCCCCACTGATATCGGTTCTCAGCCATGCCATCACCTAGAGTCAGTCTCCAACCACTGGTTCCTCTCGTCCCGCGGACCCCAACCGGCTAGTCTGCATCGCCCCACATGGTTCATACCAACAGTCAAACACTTCACACATTGGTGCCATGTTTTATTCTGGTCACCTCGGGCCTTTTCCCAGCAGGAACCTCCCCCAGCCACAATTGTACGACGAGACAGGCAGTGGCCAGGCATATTTAACATGCCCCTGCCATCAACCACTACCCTTAATTAACAATGGGATATCATGGCAGCGCCACAGGTGGCGTAAGTTGTCAAAAGCCAACCGAGCCGTTTGTATTCGTGCAGAAATTTCTCGGCCACTGTACACCAAACTGACTGCGGAACGTTATGAAAGCAGTAAGCAATTAGTATTATGAAGAAGATTCTTTGGACATTTCTGAAATCTAATAAGGCTGTTGTGCATTATCTCGGTTTATCATTGAATTCGGACGACATATCAACAAACTGTAACCTTCTTATATGAGTTCATCCTTGGTCATTATGCTATCTTGTGCTGATTTCGTTTAACAACTATTGGATGTACCATAAACAGGTTGTTATTTTAAGTTTTGATAAGTGATATTCTTGGTTGTCCTAATTTTTTATTGTCATTCTATGTGTTTATAAACTTTAGATTCCTGGTAAACAGGGACCCGTATTCATCGATTCGAATTCTACATTAGCTCGTGAAAATTTTCCATTCATTGCTTATCTGGAGGTTCATACTACTTCAAAGCCCTTTCTACGTAGTGAGTTTTAGGTATTGTTATATATATATATATATATATATATATATATATATATATATATATATATATTGCCTAATTTCGCTTGGTGTTTTAAACGTAAACTGTGAAACCAGTAAAACGAAATCTATTCTTAAAGTATTTTATAAATTATTTTGATACTTTCTATGATGGCCACTTCAATGTGCATTTGTGAGTTGAACTGCTCCTGTTGAACTAGTTACATAGACCGTACTCAAAGGGCTCTATCTATGCGCACTGTTCAACATGTACCATCTTGGTTATGGAAAGGAATGACAAAGAGCATCAACAGTGCAATCATCTCACACCTTGTAGATACCGGAAATCAGATTAAGGGATTCAGTGGTTGATGACTCTTGGTGACATGACTGAAAATCAATCATATTGGCACAGATGTATTCACTCCTTGATATCTTCTAGAGCTTGAATATTCCGAGTAACCTTTATCTTCAGATTGTTAATTCTCTTACACAACTTTGTCTGCCTTCATATCACTCTTATTCTATCCACCTGTTCTTTGTGTACTACTATGAAGTGTGGCAAGTTGAACTGATACACTTGTCTGCGAGGTTCTGCCTTGATTTTTTATGTCAGTCTGATTTACATACCAATTAATTGGTCATAAAGAACTGTAAAATTTCGTCAGATTCTGAAATAGCCATCTGCAGTGTGGTAGTTGCAGTCCTTAAAGTTTTCGACAATTGTGTACTGACATAAAGTTTCAAATGCAACTGAATAATAATAAAATGTACAGACTATAACTGGATTCCATTTAGTTGTCAGTCTCTTTATAAACTGAGAGTCTGACAAACACTTTCATTCTGCGTATTATAAATCTACTCAACTAGCTGGTCATCTTTTGAATTAGCTTGAATGATTCACCTCTGACCTGAATCACTGCTGTAAAGTTGTGCTGCAAACAAACGAAAGGGTAGTCTGGTTCTTGGATCATTTCGATTTGACTAAAAAGCAATACAGTTAATGCATTAGTGATTTTTAACTACTCATGTCAATAAGTAGTATAATTCGTTTCACCCTTAAATACATTATGGCATTTATTTGTGGCTTATTTGATGAATTTATTTACGGAGTTATTTTTATTCCATTTGTTATCATTAGTTTATTACATATTTCTTAATTTCTGTATATCGTTTGTCATTTATTCGTAATAATAGAAAAGTTTCTGTAGTAGGTAGGATAGTAAAAAATCTAGAAAATGGAAAATCATATGCTAACTTATTAGTTCTATATTCATGTTCTTCTTCAGAAGTTATTTGATGATTACTCGTTTTTCTCCTCTTCTTTATGCATTCTAAATGCGTAGAACGTATTATTCAAATAGGTATAGGTAATGTAAATCATTTTGTAACACACTTTTATGTCTTAGTTGTATTGTATTCTCTGATCTGGGTTGCTTGATCGTGAAGCTTTCATCGTTTTTCTAGACGATATCATCAGCGCTAACTTCAGTATGAAGTGAACTGTCAATATCTCACCGTTAGTGATTTAGTAGCTTTCCCTGACGAACTGGTTTGTGATTAGTTGTTCCATTTGGTCGTTATGTCATTTACCATATAGATATTCTTGTTGACTGTTCCTCTGTTTGACCTTTCTGTCGTTAAGCATTTTCTCATTGATTACTAAATGCCAGGCTTCTAGGAATTCTTTGTGTTTCCAAATAGGATAAAACGAACATCATTTACAAAATCAACTACAATAATTGTAGTCAACACTACATTGGACAAAGTGGTCACCCTCTTCACCTTCGTCATTTACATGAACACCAATGGACTATTAAACATCACATACGACATTTCATCACTCATTTCAATGCACGTGGATAACAACTACGGACATGAATTGAATTTCGACAATGTAGAAATGTTGGAGGGAGAGAGGAAACACAAAGAAGAATATCAGAGAATTTCTAGAAGCTTGGCATTCAGCAATCAACAGATGTTTAGACATTGATCGAATCTATCAACCAGTGAAAAAAGTGATAAATGACAGAAAGGTCAAACAGAGGAACAGCCAACAAGAATATCTATATGGTAAATGACACAACGATCAATGGGGACAGCCAATCACAAAGCAGTTCGTCAGAGTGAGCTACTAAATCACTAACGGTGAGATATTGATAGCCCACTTCATACTGAAGTTAGTACTGATGATGTCGTCTAGAAAGACGATGAAAGCTTCACGATTAAGAAACCCAGCTTGAGAGAACACAATACAACCAAGACCATTCACCTGAGCTACAAATATTCTCCACCATTTTAACACTTTTTATGTGTTTTTGCTGCAGATCTCTTTGTCGTTATTATATAGGATATATTCACTAATTAGTCTGAATTTGTTTCTTCTGTTTTAGCGGTATGTGCTATTGATCCTGCATGGATACCATTTCTAGCACCTCAAAGTTATACAGTCAACGAACTTGTACTAACAGATAGTGCGAATTCTCCAATGAGTATTGAAAAACAGCCTGGAAATCACGGGTTATGTAGCGAAGCTAGTATTGATACAGGCGACGATAATGATGAGTCAAAACATGATATTGTTAAACTTTATGAATCTACTTCTCCTACATCTCTTCCTACACCGCGTTATGACGCTGATCGTGACATTATTGTTACAGGTGCCAAGTCTGCTGTATACATCGGTTTGGGTATTGTTCTTGACTCTCCTGAATCTTGTGATAATCAATTTTTGGATTTACCAAATAATATTGTTGTTCCTATGAATGGTATTGCTGCAGCTCAGTCGTTAGGCGTTAAAGAAGCATTGACTTGGAGTGTTCGCTGGTTTACACGCTACATTTTAGAGGGTATAATATTTTCAGAATTTTCGAAATGGTTTCCCTCAAGAATCAAAAAGAATATTTCACCACAAATTGTAACTGTTTCATGGGGCGTGTAAGTTCTAACTAATTTTCTTGTGATGAATATGGTTCACATAGGTCGTGCAACACATTTATTCTTCATGGAGACAAAGAATATTCCTTTCGATAACTTTTTCATCAGATTCTACAGTTATATATCCATATTGCTCAACCAGAGAATAAGTATGTGTCTACAGATTCTGCTATTAGAAGTATTCTGTATCTCGTAGCTTTTAGTAAATTAATGGTAATTTAGTAAGTGTTGTGTTAACGTGCATTTATTCTTTGGTTGATCAATACGGATACATAACTGTAGAATCTGAGAGAAACATTAACGCAAAGAATATTGTTTGTTTATCAAATTGTCCTCATAGCAACATAGAAACACGTACACGAAACGCACAGAACTTGGCATAACTGAGTATCCGTTTAAAATGTCAAATTTCAATTCAGCACATGGAAGGAGGAGTCAACAAGATGAAATGGCTATATCAAAAGTTCCAAAGCGCAGCAAAGTTAAAGAAGGAGAGAGGAGTTGAAGGCGAATGATAGTAGGATTTTCTAAATTTATACGTGAATATTAATGGTATCGCGTCACTATGATTGATTTTCAACCGTAATCCTTAGTCTGTAATTGTTGATTTTTGTTGTATTGCAGATGCGGAGTTGTTAGCGTACATTCCTCTACATCGGTCAAACTAAGAGTCACTGGGAAGCAGGTTATATCCAGTTGACGAGTCCCAAATAGGACAAAATGAGCATCCTGGATTCCACTGCTAGCCACTATCCATCCTTAGAGTCGTAGACTTTATAAATTTCTGTTCTCCCTTTATCAGGATATCATTACCTTTTTTCAACCTAGCTCTACTTCAGCTAACCATATATATTGAGTAGATGGTAGCATATTAACGATCTCAGTTGTTAAAGGCTTTCAACGTCATCAACTGACATACCTCCCTTACCTAGTACCATACTCCTAACATCTGTATTGCTTGCATGGTGGTCCCATCATACGCAAATAATGAGTCGAAGTTAATGTGGGTCATGTCCGTATAAACAGTTATTTGCTTCTCCTTTAATATACTGATGAGGATGTGGCATATATTTTGAAATCATATCAATAGTGAACACTTCACTTCTAGAAGAATCTAGGATCTTATGGTTTTGTGGTCATCACTTCATAGCCCATAGATTCTGGTGATGACTTGGTTAGATCCTTTTGAGAAACTTGTTATGATTTTTATTTCATAAGAGCATCAGCCTGTAGTTGCTATGCTTGAACTCTGTCATCATGCCATACCAAATCATTCACTAAGGCAACTAGAGTTTTATTGCTATCTCATTAGTTATTAATTTTTTAACCTAAATGCATAAGAAATATACAAGACCAGAAAATCAGTGTACAACTTACTCAAAATTATTAATAAATAAAGACTGCTACTCACAGAACTAAGAGCATTATCGGTCAGTCGTAAAGAAAATGTTTCTTTCCATTTGACTAATATATATATATATATATATATATATATATATATATATATATATATATATATATATATATATATATATATATATATATATAATGACTGAGTATAGTGCCTGAAGTAGGACGGGATTGCGGTTTACATGATGTGGCTTTTTTTCTCGTCACTACTTGAATGTGACCGTACTGCTTTATCAACATGAATTTGTCAGATCAATATTGAGAAAGCATGCTCTAACGGTGCTTATTGTTACACTATGTAGTTAAGCCGATTGAAGCTTCCTTCACTATAGTACAATTAACAAATTCTTAAACAGGCATGTTTTATTGAGTTCATCTTACGCATCATCAAACTGGCAACGATTACGTTTTTTTTTGATATTGCTATTTTTACCTTTAAGTAGATTGAAAGACAGAGTAAACGCTTGATTGTGTCGCCTTTTGTCGGCACACTGGTTGTTGTGTTGGTTACAGAAATATTACGAGTTAAAAACTTTCTGTTTATAGTCATTCCTCAGCATTACAATTTGCAGTTTAAACTTATCGCCTAGCAACCTTAACAAAGTCTGCTTATCTTACTTTTGTTCAGCATTCGCGCTGAGGTTCGTTCCATTGTTTCTCTCCTCGTTGCTGACAAGATAGATTCAAAGAGGAAACTATTACAACAGTGGCAATCGAATCCCACATGTAAGTCAGATGATTTTCATTTTTATTTTACTGGTTTAGATCTCTCCAAGGAATTAGCTTCATGGTTGCATCCAGACTATGTGAACGAGTTTTATGCGTCTTGGCCATTAGTAAAGAATACTGCTACATGCTAACTCCGCTCTTAAACGCATCACTTGTAAACTAATTATTTCTTTGCTTATACAACCTATTCTTCCAAATACAGATGTACAGACGTTTTTAGTTATTCTGGATTTTTAAGTCTTACAAAATAGTAAGATATATCTCGTCCTTCATAAGCCATTTCTATCTAATTTTACTACATGTTAAATTACAAGGGATAATATCTAGATTCAAGCGAGGCGTCGCATAAAAACCATTTGAGGTCCACTCCAATATATTAAGGTTTCTTTCAAAGTAATACTACAAGTAACGATGTAACAAAGATGAGACAATCTTCAAGTATAATGTTTTAGAAGAGAAAGTTGTCGGATTTGTAAGTAGAATCCAGGATGGAAACTAAAAGAGTTTTGTAATCACTAAAATAATTCACAAACGTTCCTATGAGAAGCAATTAGGCCGAAATTACTGATGTTCGTTCATACACAAGATTTAAATTTTGTCCAGAAGCAAGTAGAAATCAGCTGCATAAACTTCTTTTTAGGAGATCACGCTTGACACAAATAAAAGAGGTCTTGAATATTCAACGTTACACTTTTTTTTATATTTCATTCTTAATTCAGAAGGTAATGACATACTCCACCTCCTGAAACTTACACATTGAATGGTTTCTGTAGACTAATGTCCGACACTTTAGTATCATTTATGTGATCAGCAGATGCTGTTAGGAAGCGCTTGTTGTAGGTTTACGGGGACCACTTAAATTATTGTCTTAGGTCTTACTTCACCTTAGCTACTTCAGATTGTGATATACGCTGTATGAGGGACAGCTGTATTCTGTGCTTTCATCGTTTCTCTGAATAGGATATTGTAATTTTCAAACCCAAGCAGTTGGATACGTTGTATTCTTGAAATAGGCTCAGATTTTACTGGTGTAAGCCTGCCACTTCGATGCATAAATTTATGCAGAATCAATGTAAACAAACTATGTTTACACAATCGACTACTTAGTATTTCTTTATTCTGTGAATCCCAGTTGTTGGTGTCGGTAACTCATTTTGGTTTACAAAAAATCAGGCAAACGCTTTCCAAGTATAGTTCATTGGTAATCTGGATCACACTTGAATTCGGACCCATAATGTGTCAGTGCCTCGTGGAGTATAGTGGAATCATGGAACTGCAATCAACTAGGCTATATAAGAAGGTCCGATTAAACCTTATTGACAGTCAATCCCATACCACCTCGGTCCTTATCTAATTAACTGATCATATGAGTTCGGATATTTCTAAATTTTATTCGAGTTATTTATGCTGAATAGTTAAACGGATTGGCAGACCTTATTTTCCATGGATGAGCACTTCATCCTTAGTTAACGTTTAGTGCTACAGCGTTCCGATTATTGGCAAACTATAATTTTTATTTCTTCCTTTTGAATTTCAATGTAAAGTAAATTATGATTCTAAGTTTTCCAACAAACCAGAAAAGTCGCCTTGGAGTAAGTGCTTTTTTGAAAGTCCTAAGGTTGTCACTCAACTCTAAACTCTCGAACCTCAAAAACTAACTTTCGAAACTAAAACTGCTATTTCGTATCTCTCTTGAAATGACTAATAATGAAAATTCATTGTTGTAACTAGGTTTTTTAGTAGTTTATCATTTCTTACACCAAGAAATCTACTACCAGATAAAATCCGACAGTATTTTCAATAAAAATATGATCGAAACATTGGGAAATTTCCAAGGTTTTGCAGATCGATAACGACTTTAACGTTAGATAGAAATAAGCACAACCTATCATGCTGCTTGATAATAGTTGCGAATAAGATCCCATTTTTGCAATCATAATTCTATGTAGATAGTTTATCAGCATTTTGTGAACAATGAATTAATTGAACAACGTAAATTGCTTCCCGATGGTGGAAATATACTGTTTCATCTTCAAGATATCCTCATCACACAATGAATCTCCGATCATCGAAACAGTCTCAATAGGTCATGAACAATCAACTAAATACTATTCAGTGAAGAAAAGTTTCTTCCCAACGAATCATCTTCAGAAGCTGTACATTCGTATTTAGAGTTACAACGAGAATATATACATACGTCCATCAGTGGTTAATGGATCAATACAAGATCATCAAGTATTGCCAATAGTCACAAGGTGATTGTGTTGTGTATACAAGGTCATCAAAAGTTGTTTATAGGATTACAAGGTAATGATTGATAGGTCAGTATAAGGTGATCACCTAATTGTCTATGAAGTAATAGAACAGGTACGAAAAGTGTGACAGTTCGATTCAGACCAACAATTACGCAGTAAGGAAACGGTGGAAATAATAATGTTGATAAACAAAACATCTAAGGGAGATCAATGACTAAGACAAAATTAGAGATGATGCGTAACTCTGCAAAGGCTTCTGCTGTGTTTATTTGATGAATTCGCACTTCTTTGATTTTATAAATCACTTCGAAAAGGAAGATCCCGGTGGAACATAGTTAATCAAATGCTCAAGAATTGGGCTGTTTCACGACTTGCACTCTCATGTAGACAGCCGTGTAGGATACTGTTCGAAGATGTGTTTGGATAGAACACGCTTTGTGCGATCAATGTAACCAGCTCCACAAACACCGAGGTAGCCCATAACGGTGTTTTATCCTTTACACTCTCTTGTGTTGACCCATTAGGCAATGATAGACATCTATTTTTGTTATAAATATAAGTATGAATCTTATGAAAATATGACCTACATATAGAAGATGAAAAAATGTTGAGCTTCGATGTAAAAAGTCTTTATACTAAAATATCAATCAATATGGCACTGAAGTTAAATAAGTAGTGACTCAGAACTTAGTCACAGAACTAAGATATCGGTTGATGAGATCATATTAGGCATACGATTATGCCTAACCTCCACAGCCTTCAAGTTTCAGGACAAAATATGCAGATAAACCGAAGGAGTAGCAATGGGATAGCCAATATCCTCAATGACAGCGAAATATTTATTGATGGTTGGGAAAACATGGCAACACGAACGTTTAATTCTGCACCAAAAATATGGTGGTGATATGTGGACGACACATTTACTGTGTTGATATCGGAACATATCGACAATTTCCTCACACATATAAACTCAGTAGTCGACGCAGTCAAATTCACTTATGAGGTAGAAAATGAACAAAGAAAATTACCCATGTTGGATTCCAGGATAAAACGAAGGAGAGACGGTGGTTTGGATACTACCGTCTACAGAAAACTGACACATTCCAACAGGTATCTAAACTTCAAGTCAGCCCATCCATTGTCAGTTAAGGCAGGTTTAATCGAATGGCTAAGTCATAGAGCTAGAAAACTGACTAGTCAGTTCAAGGACCTAAACAAGGAATTGAAGCACATAAAAGAAGCACTAATAGGTAGTAACTATCCTCTGCAGTTTATTAAGAAATTCGTACGAACACACAAGAAACGAAATGTTAGCAGTAACACTAGTACGAATAATAAAGACAACACGGGTAGAAAGGAGTTCAAAGCCTCCATTGTGTTATCCTATAAGGAAGGTACATCGAAAACTTTACGTAGGATCTACAACAAGTATGGAATTAGGGTGGCACTCTGAAACCTACAAACTCATTCAGACAAAAGCTTTGTCGGCTGGCCTAAGGATCCGATAGAACCAACTAAGCAAAATAATCTAATCTATCGAATTCCATGTAATGACTGTGGGCGAGGTCAAGTACATAGATCAAATTAACCGGTCGGGGTCAGTCAGAATAGCTGAACATAGGAATTTAGCTAAATATAGAACGACAGGCCCGAATAAGATAAATAATCCAGAAAAGAATTCGGCTATTGCATTGGATGCATTAACACACAATAGAGTGGGACGAAGCCAATGTACGTAAGTCCAATATAAATAGGCGGAGAGAGAGATTGTTTACCGAATCTTTGTTCATCGAATCGATACCTATGCCAGAGATAATGGTAGATTTTACTACCAATAAAAACAAACCATATGGGGTGACGTGACTATAGAAACCAAATGTCGAAGGTTGTTTGATTATATTGATATGATTATGAGCAATAATTTATGCTCAAGACGTCATCAAGTAGATCATATTGTATCACTATGTTACTAATCAAATAAACAAATCGAATATGGGATGTCCTCGGCAAAGTTTGAAGAACAGTATCTGAGTGACAAGTGAACGTGAAAAAATGGAACTGCTGAAAGACGTATTACGCCTATATGGATAAGTACGTAAAAATAGGCTTAACCTACCCCTTGGAACTCCACTGAGGGAATCTTGTGCAATGCGTACAACAAACTTGTTCTGACTCAAGTCTTTTTATCCCTTCACTTTCGATAAATATCAAACGACTGTCACTACGCGGTCGTAACAAATGCAGAGACCAGCCACTAATTATTCATACTTATTGAATATCCATGAATGAGAGACCATTAAAGAACGCAATATAGTTGATCGGTAAGAATTGCATAAGTCATGCCAATATACCGAGATGCTTAAACTAGCAACGCAACTTAGCAATGTGCTAAATGCTGTGGACGTTTGACTGTGTGCCTTGAACTCAACAAGTTCATTGAAAATTCTGAAGGTTATCATTCATGTTAGGTATCGTCCTACTGTTGATTTCGGGGAATTACTTTCCACTACAGCTCACTTTCTTTGTATTGGTTTCATGAGACCTCTAAAATGATAAAAAGTGGTGTGCTTCCTGGATGTCTGAACTCATTTAAGGGGTTCTATACGCTTGGTTCGTTTCAAAAAACGTTTACAAAACTGGGACAGCATATTTTGCTGAGTGCCATGAATTTATTGTTTGTTCACCTTTTCAACTACCTACAGGCTATACTATAAATACAAAGAAATGCAATCTACACACCTTAGTTATCAAGAGGGTGATAGTCTGTTGGTGAAATAAGTGATACAGATTAAGGATATCCGAATGCAATGAATTATTACTAAGATCGAAGTTATCCTATGGTAATATGGTCAGATTATCATTTTTCGGTCTGAGTC